CGGATTAACTCCTGTTCAGAGACATCAACAATGTATAAGGAGTGAATGAAAAATCCAAATAAAAGTTAGTTTACATCACATTAGAAAGGAATTGCTATTACCTCTAATGCTCTACTTGCACTCTTTCTTTCATCAAGAGAAGTATTTCTTCCCATCCATACAAAGACTTCTAACCCACAGTCCAAAATATAGCATTTATTTGTGTTCAACAACACTCTTGTCAAGGAATCAGCCTCAACAGGCTCTGCCTGCCCCTTCTCAACACTTGAAAAGCAAACATACCCCAATGAGAACATTTTCAAATTACAAAATTACAGTATGACAAAAGAAAATCTTTTATCAAATGCAAAAAGCATTTTGCTTTCCACACAAACATAACTTATTGGTCAATTTAGAGAAAGCAAAATTGCATTTGTGGAGGTAATCAGGCCAACATTGATTGACCGCCACCACCACCAAGCCAAGACAAATTTTACCTCAGTAGCTTGGTTGGATGAGAATCAACAGTCTTGTCCTCATCAGTAGTAGTCTTCCTCGGAAGTGGAGCAAAGCCACCAAAGAATCCCCAAAATTCTCCAGTTTCAGCATCAGCCATCAACCTTCCATCCTCTGCATAGAGTAATTAGATTGAAATCATTAGCTTATATACAATTAACCACTTCTCACTCCATTCATCTTATTCTTCTCTTTCTTCATGACCCAATCTGTTAGTTTACTCACCAATGGCAGCCACCTCGCATTTCCCATCATGATAAGTATCTTTAATGTATTGGACAACTTCAAGAGCTTTTGCCCTCTCTTGAATGGATGAATTGGAACCATTAAATTGAAAAATTTTAGACTTGGTATCCAGAATAAAGATGTCATCATGGTTGAGTGAGGACCGAGCAAAAGGAACCTGCCACGACACATGTCATGAACTTCACAAAGAAAAAGGATTAAGAAATCGCACCCAAGAATGAGAATTGTCAGTCCCTAGAGGATCAATGAGGTCCAAAGACTTGCCTCTTTTACATGGACAACATGTTTGCCTCTACACACAAACAAACGTGCCTTATGTTCTTCATGAACATGTTTGAATCCAGATGTAACTCCACCTTCCTGGGGTATGATACATGGCTTGAAATAGGAAAGAAACTTCTCAGTTTCATGGCCCTGCACTTCACGATATTGAACAGCACGCCCTCCAAGAGCAGCATCAAGTTCAACAGTCTTGACTGCAGCAGCACCTGCTTCATCCTATGTTAAACGAGTTGTGGTCACAAAATCAATCTAAAGTTTTTTAGTTCAAAATTCAATCCATTGCTTGCTGAAATGTTAGAGTTGAACAAGTAATAGAAAACAGTGGCACAAGGTATACCTGAGTTGTATCTTTACCAAGCCAGTAGTGGATATCATGACGTAATGCACCACTTTTTGAGCCAGTTGTCTGCGCCAAAAAATAATAATATTACGGAGCAATAACCAGAGAATGAAAACTTAGATGCATCTTAAACCTTCAAACCAGAAGCATTATCTAGTAATAGATTAGTACTCAATTTTTATGAATAACCCCAACAGAAATGAATCAACAGCATCAACCTTAAGACCTGGCAAAGTTTATCATTAGAACCTCTAACAGACTCTTTTCTCCTTTATCATGGCCTTTTAGCAATAAAAAAACATTTCTAGTTCCACAGCTTCAAATTTTACCATCTTAACTGCTAAATTTTGGTGCCAACAGAAACATGCAACATGTAAAATCTAATTCAATGCTTCCCAACAATATAACTTGCCTTCAAAATAACATAGGAATCCCCCGTGAAAAACTTGCCATAAGATAACTTTGGAACAGGAACAGGGCGGAAGTTTTCAATGCGCCAGATTTCAATTCCACTGCATATTGTTAAGGAGTATTCATTCAAAACCAGACATACCCAAGATCAAAAAAAAAAAAAACAACAATAATTGTGATAGTGGTTCTCTTTCTCTAAATTTTGTCACCCTACACAATGTACAATCCAAATCTAGTAGAAAAAAATTATATAAGACTATCGTTCTAAAGAACAGTAAATAATCACAATGATGATACATGAAAAGCTGCACATTTCAAAAGTGAAGGATACGCTTTTTGCCCAGCTCCCTGGAAAGCTGGATCTAAATCTCTCATGGAAACCGCCATACTGTTTATTCACCTTTAAATTTAATGATTTGATCTTCTAGGTCTTAAGCTGGAGGCAAGCAATAGATTTGACCTGAAATATAATTGGCACCATTAATTGAGTATGAAATAGATAAATAAATTGCCGCAGGAAGAGAATCTAAGGAAAAGAAGAAGCAATGCTCTCTCACAACACTGTTACTGTTGAAAAGGTGATCAAATTTATTGAATCAAAAATCAAATAAGGAGATTATAGAATCCAGATTACACCTCATTCCTAATTATGTTGGAAGAAAAATTTTTAGTAACAAAATATCCTGCCACATCTGGTCTTCATATATATGACTTCAACATAATTTTGGAAGCAAAAATTTGAGCATAACTTAAATTTGGAACCTGTATTTATATTGGTTATTCGTTAATTACAGGAATGTCTTGTACTGCACTCTACAAAGCACATGCTTATTTCTATGCATTCTATCATTGCTTTATATTTTCACATCGAACACTTTATCAACATTAAAACAAATCACCTGCATTTCTTATTTGATAGCAGTGTTCACTTCTTTCCTGGTGTGCTTGCCAGCTAAGGAAAACAGTGTAGTTTCTTTTTTTTTTTTATGTGATTAATAAGCACATTCACCTGTTCTCCAAAAGATGAAACATCTACAAAATTCTTCATTAGGAACCCAAAGTAGCCACTAGCTAGTGAGAGGGGAGACATATCAACAATTAAATCTTAATCACTTGCAACCACTTCAGTAAATACAGACTCGTAATCCCAAATTCTAACCGGCTATAATGCCTTTTCTTTTTCTCTCTCTCAATCAGCTCCGTTTGAAATTCCAAATCCAGTTTTAAACTGTAGAACTAATTTTAGCTGGCTAGACATATGATCAACCAAAAGACAAAATATTAAAACTGCATATAGGTCACCCAAAGAGATCAGCAAAGACCAAAGCTTAGGCTCCTACTCGACCACTATCTTTTATTTATCACTTTCAGCTAATCCCATGAAAGCAGACTACCTGTTTGGCTGTTCTTGTGCCACTAGGCCCATGTCCAAGAAACCCAGAAAAAGAATGGTCCAAATATATTGGAAATCCAACATTCTAACACTGTATTAGATTTTACAGTTTCCCAACGTCATGAAGATGACAAAAATACCACATTTTATTGAAATTCACATCAGAGGAACAAAAACAAAGCTAAATCAGGCTTTCTAAACCAGCGCCTAGTTGGCAAAAATCAGGCAAAAGTTAATTCATCAAAGATGAGCTGAACTTTTAAATCCCAACACACCATCAACCAATCAGATCAAATAATTACCGAACAACAACAAAGGCATAGCACAAAATAACCCAAAAACATAAAAATGTTCAAACTATGGAAAGCTCAACAACCCAGAAAAAGACATTCTTTAAGCAATATATCTTCTTGTATTTAGCAGATGGAACATTAATTGAAAAAACCCAGATACAAAAATCATCAAAAAGTGAAAATATAATTAAAAAAACCTGACCTTGAAGATGATAATCCGAAATCCAAGCAGAACCCAGATCCAAAAAATTGAAGAAAAAATAGAGAAAAATAATGAGTGTTTCAAGAGTAAAAAGCTGAAGCAAAAACAAAAAAGAGAGAGAATTAGACTCGAAGCTTAGAGAGAGAAAGAAAGCATGCGTTGTAGAGAGTGAAAAGTTAGAGAGAGAAAGACAGAAAGAGAGGGTTTGAGGCCTTGTGGGAGTTGGAGGAAGGGAATGATGAGTGCCAGCCGTGCTAAACTCACAATCAACTGTAAAATCTCATTAATAATTAATTAATGAACCTTATTTATACAGAGAAAAAAAAATCAAAGTACAGTAAAACAATGAGTTGAAAATTTTAGGGTGATGGGTTGATTCCTTTTGTCATCAACAGGTTAAAATTTGTCGCCGCATTCCTGCTTCTTCTTGTTGGATCATTCATTTTCTTAAGTTTTTAATTCAAGTTTTGGGGTTTGATTTGTTTAGAATGAATTGGTAATGAAAATGGAAGGGAGTTACAGTTCAATTTGAAAGCATAATCAACAATAACAGTACAAACCTCAAAAAGAGATATATAAAAATGGGAAGAAAGTATCAAACAAAAGGATATTACCTTTCTTTATGGCTTTTTAATTGTTTTATAGATGGAATTTGTTGTTGTGTGTCGATGATGATCTCAGAATCTTTGTGTCTTGTAAGAACATGGGTACTTTTTTTAATTACATAATTTTTTTATGCAATTAAAAAAGTAATAATGAAGAATTGAGAAAAATAGCAATTAGAAAAGAAAAAAAAAATGAAAGGGATCGGTTTGGTCCGAGAAAGACTACAGTTTAACGGTAACGTTGATGGAGAGAGAACGGAGAGTTCCGCTTTTTCAGGATTGAGAAAGGAAAAAGAGAAACGGTCGGTCACCGGCCATGATTAATGCATTGCCAATCTGCCCATAAAAGTTAAGGCGGGACTTCATGCTAGCCATGCCCCTGTTTTCTCCTTCTATTCTCCATTCCCCCTTTATGTACAGACGATTTGGGGACGATTATCCGATCGATTAGTTAATTTTGAATCAAATTATTTTAAATTAAATTAAATTATTTTTATTATTTAAATCAAATTTTTAATTTTAAATAAAATTAATACTTAATACGTTATAAATATATATTTTTAATTTCACAAAAAATATTAAAAAATCTTAATTAAACTCTAAACGACGCGAAAAAACTAAAACTAAAAGAAAATTAAGGGGTAAACAACGGAGGATTAATGGCTTCCGCTCAATTTTATTTATAGTTGCCGAATACTAAGCTGTATCTCCTCCCTACAAATCCATGCAACTTCAGGACCTTGACTTACTAATTTTGTTTTTATAACTAAAACTCGTTGTGATTATCCCAAATAAAATATCCGGCACTTGATATATATACACACACACACGTTGTTTTTCTTTGTATACTCCAAGCCATCTCCCCCTCCTTCTCACCTTAAGCTTTTTTCAATTTTCTCGTAATTCTTCAATGGAGTCTAAGCTTCAGCAGCCTTGGTGGCTGCTGTCTATCTGGTCTTTGTTGGTCTTGAACCTGCAAAACGGGGTAAATGCAGAACCCCAAGTGCCCTGCTACTTTATTTTCGGCGACTCGTTATCTGATAGTGGGAACAATAATGACCTTCAAACGTCGGCCAAAGGGAACTATCCACCTTACGGGATTGACTTCCCTAAAGGACCAACAGGAAGGTTTAGCAATGGCCGAAACATGCATGATGTTCTTGGTTTGCCTTCTCTTCACATCTAGTTTCAAAGTCTTTAATTTGTCTTCAAGCTTATATGTTTTTCTCTTCACATAGATGAATTTTCATGCTGCACATTGTTGTGGTTCCTTGCTGGTCAATCCTTTCCACCAATATTCTTTGATTAATATATTTTTCTTTTATGTATACGATCACGCAGTTGAACTTCTTGGTTTCGAAGAGTATATTTTTCCCTACGTTCAAGCCGAAGGGAAGAGCATTCTCAAAGGTGTGAATTATGCGTCTGGTTCTGCCGGCATTCTCGATGAAACTGGAAGCCATCTGGTAATAAAATTTCAAAAGCAATATTCATCATTGCCAGAAATTTTTTTTTTCTATTATTTTCTTTGACTTTGAGAAAAAAAAAAGGGTTTCCTGAGGTTGAGAAAAAGGGTTTCCTGAGTGAATAACTGAAGAAAGGCCATGAACAGTTAACGAGCTAATTTTTTATAACAATACAGTTTTCCTTACCTTTTGCAGGGTGCTCGAGTATCCATGAACGAACAGATAAAAAATCACAAAACTGTAATCTCAAGAATTAGTAAGATTTTGGGGAATGATTCATCTACAAAGAAGCTTCTAAGTCAATGCATTTATTCGGTTCAAATCGGTGGCAACGACTTCACTAACAATTATTTCAAGCCAAAGTTCTATAATACCAGCCGCCAATACAGTACTCCAGACGAATTTGCTGCGGTGCTCGTTGAACAATATTTAAAGCAAATAAAGGTTAGTATTATATATGAAATAATATTATTATATATTCCAGGCCTCCTAATAAAAAAGAAAATACCGTGAGTTTTCTTAACTGATCTTTACTACCAGGCTTTGTACGACAATGGAGCAAGGAAGTTTGCCCTGTATGGGTTGGGGGAGATTGGTTGCACTCCAGATGCAATTGCAACGTACAAACCCAATGGCTTTCTCTGCGCATCGGAGTTAGACAATGCTGCCACGGTTTTCAATTACAGACTTATGCCACTTGTCAAGGAACTTAATGATAAACTAACCGATGCTAAAATTAGCTATCTTAATCCTTCTCCAAACCCAGCTTATGTTGCACCATTTGGTAAAGAACTCTTGCCTAATCCCATCTCTATTCAATTTGATATTAAAGGTCTTGTCTTGGTTTCGTGTTTCTCAGTGACGAGTGGTTTATGTTGCAAAACTGGGGGTGGTGGTGGAGAGCTTTGTATTCCTGATTCAATCCCATGCAGTGACCGAAGCCAGTACGCGTTTTGGGACGGTATCCATCCTACTGATGCTTGGAACGAACTCATTGCCAAAAGTGCCTACCAGACCCATTCCCCCATCGAAGCTTATCCATTTAACATTCAGAAATTAGCGAAGCAATAAACCAATATCAAAGTCACGAATCCTTGTCATGGGGAGCATGGGATTTAGGAGATGGGAAAAAGTTGTCTTTAATAATGACAAATGAAACGCAACAAGCAAATGTACTTTTACTCTGCTTTACCCGAAAAAAAAAAAATCTAATAGTGAAAGAAACAAATGAAATCTTTAATAATAATAAAAAAAAAGAAGCTTTCTTGTGTAAATAAAATAGTGGCCGTCAGCTTCTGGCCGTCATTTATTAAAGTTCTAACACTGAAATTTGGACACAGCTTGTTTTCAAGGGATGCTGTGGCTTGCATTCATTAAAATTCTATCGCAGAAATCTCCGAAAGGCTTCGCATCCAGGAGTTTGTTGTATGAATGAAAGAGATTTCTTTTATTGTATAGTTTAAAATCATATGTAAGAATCAAATAAAAGTAATTGATCCCATTATCCTTCTCTATATATCTCTATACTAGCTGAATTCAATTAAGTTTTATCTAAATTCTATGAAATTTATTTTGCAATAATATTTAATGATTCATTTCTTGTTGATTAATATTTGGATCACTTGATATGATATTGAAATTGATAATAAAAGATTATAAGTTGAAAAAGCTTATAAACGTGATGTACTATTTAATCAATCCTTTGGTTCTTATTGTTAGCAGGCAAATCCGTCATGGATCACTCGTTTTTCCGGCCTCACATCATAGCCTATATGATGAAGTATAGTTATAATGTAGCTGCAGATATGATTCAATAATTTTATTTGATTATAATGGTATAATTTTCAATGATGCAATTGTTTTTGCTGAGGGGGAAGGGCCTGGTAATAATCCGTTAAATTGGTAAATAAATTGGGCCGGGTGATGACTAAAAAGGAGGACACTATTGGCATTAAAAAATAGTGTAGGGAGAAAACGGTCATTTTGTAAACAACAAATCTAGGGTTCTTCATACGTGGTATGCTATAAATAAAAGGCGAATCCGACGAGACGCCGTCTGACTCTATCTGTCTGTCTCTGGTCTCATCGTCTCGCTGAGCTAACTTGCGTGTTGTGAGTGCGTGAGTGAGTGAGAGAAATAAGAAAAACAATGGGGGTATTCACATTCGTGTGCAGGAGCAGCGCCGGGGAGTGGACTGCGAAGCAATATGAGGGAGAGATCGAGTGTTCAGCTGCTTCCACGTACGAGCTCCAGAGGAAACTCGTTCAGGCCGCCGTCGCCTGTGACTCCTCTGGCGGTGTCACCTCCTCTTTCTCTCTTGTGACCCCTAATTCAGCTGTTTTCCAGGTTTTTTTCCACTTCTTTTGCCCTCTTTCAATTAATTACATCATATTCGTTTTAATTTAACAAACTGTTTGGTCGAATATGAGATCGGATTTTTAAGTTGATATGATATTCATTCACGGGTTTTTTAGTTTCATGCTGATAAGCAGCCTTGTGTTTCCTGTTTTTAAAATTATTTGGCGCAGGTGATTATTGGAGGTGGTGGAGGCGGAGGCTTCATAGGAGGTGGAGCTGCTGCTGCTCCTGCTGGAGGCGCTGCCGCTGCGGAAGAAGCACCTGCCGCTGAGGAGAAAAAGAAGGAAGACAAAGAGGAGGAGAGTGAGGATGAAGATATGGGATTCTCACTCTTTGATTAAGCGTCTTCACTGCCTTCTTATTGGTCTAGTTTTTAGCGAGATATTGTTGCGTTGCCATGTTTCTATCGCGCTTAGCAGTTCTATGTTGCACTGTTACCCAAACAGCGAATTAGATTTGGACGAAATTGGGTTTTTGAGTTAGAAATTTGGCGTTTTAAAGGTGAATTTGACAATCTTATTAAGTATGTATGTGGTTTCACTCATGTTGAGTTACTATATTTAAATTGTGGTTTTGTTTCATTTTAAGTCCCGTCATTGATTTTATGGTTGCTTAGCATTTGTTTGGATACGAGGAAAACAATGAGAAGAAAACTGAGAAGGAAAAATGAACTGAAGAACAAAGCTACTTTTATGGTTGATTAGCGTTCAAGTTGGTCTGGTTACCACTTATAGATACCATCTGCAAATATGATAGCAGCTTCAACTTCTATGAAGCTTGACTTTGCCACATGTCATCCAATTCAATGTCACAATGAAATTCGTTACCAGATCCCATCCTTTTTCTTTTCCATAAAATCCACACATTTCATAACAGTTGCAGTAAATATTTTTACAACATGAGGAGGGGCTTACTTAAAAGTTCCAATCAACCCCTCTGGAACATATTGCAATCTCCTACAGAGAACTCCATTTATCCTTCTTTGTCTTTTTCAGGCAGAATAATTATGCTACACAAACATAAAAGCACAGATATACAATATATTTACTGGTTGAACAATATAAACCCTGTCACTATGATTGAATCTTCAGCAAGGGCTTATGATTGGGATTAGTCATGAGACACCCCATCTTTAAATCCACTAGCCCAAGAACCCATGTCAAGACTTTGTTCAAGGAACAGGCATCACTGCAGTGCTTTCCCAGTCTCAAGTACACTTGAAGCAGATCCCAGATTGCTTTTCATGTCTTTATCAAGATCCTGTAGTCTGACTTTCTGTATGCAGGACAAAAACATACACTAAATGGTTAACATTATTAACTGGTCAAGCATCTCATCCTCAAAGAAACATATTATGGGATATGACCACTTTGATTATGTACAGTATCTAACCTAAACCTATACCTTCAGCTCTTACCAAGTGTTGTGAACCACTGTCTTAAGCACACAATGACACATCATGACTAAGCAATCAACTTTTAAAATTCACTTTAGGTGTCGGCTTTACTTCGTGGTTAAGACAAGATGAGAACAAATTTGAAAATATAAAAAATCTAATTGGCCTTCAAAGGGAGAAAGCAAACCCATAGGGCTGAAATTATTACCCAAAACACAACTTCATGGCATAATAAAGTATAATTGTAAAGGCATCAAGCAAGAAGTAAGAATTATGACCAGAAAGAAACATACCTCAAAATTGGAAAAATTTTAGGAAACATAAGTAAAGCATTGGTACAAACAAGTCAGTAAAATCTATTGACCACATACCTTCTCCAAATAGCTGCTCAAACCGAGCAACAATGTGTTTCCCGTAAGTATATTTTTTCAAAGCATGAGCATGCAATCTGATACGACTAAGCAGTATTGCCTGCTGATTTTCTGTACATGTATCAAAAATTTTCTGAACAACATAATTTGCAAATTGGTCCTTCATCATTATCTGGAACACAAGAATTAAAAACATTAATTAAGATTCAAATTTATCACATCAGATATGATAAGTCCCATCAATCAATAATAAAATGGATTAAGAGACTGAATAAAAAGGAAGAGAGCATTAAGAGATTAACAAGGAAAGAAACAACTAGTTCTCTTTTTAGGTCAATCTCAGATTTCCAGGTTGTGGAGCAGTCATCGATTCTCTGCTCTTTCTCTTCAAGAACTATTTTTTCTTTTAATACACTATTTTTTATCATAAAGGACTTACCAATAAATTATCATTTCCCTCGGTATGTCCAACAATCTCATCAACTATTAGTTCTCGTTCAGAGGGACCACCATACTCCAAACATTTCTCAATAACATTTGACGCAAATTTATGCTGGCTCAGTTGCACAAAATGCCCAGACAACTTGCTAATAATTTTGCTTCTTTCTTGAGGTTTTCCCTTCTCCAATACATGCTGCAAATGACAAGGCATTTACATTAACATCAACAATGGAAAGAGGAAATTAGAACAGACAGGATATCTCATACATACAGTTGAAGAGGCAAGGAATTTGAAAAATCCTTTATTCTTCAAATCAAGAACATTGAAGAAAAATAAGGATCAACTGAGACATAAAAATCAGAGCTTTGAACACAAATGAACAGCCTTACATGCAAAGGTATAAAACACACACTCATTTAAAACAACAGTCATAGGATTGAACAGTCCATGTGTCATGTGTAAGTGTGTTCTGAGTTCCACATTTGATACATACTAGGGTGATCTTGAGCATATATAGAGGGATGGTCCTTTCACCTAATTGGCTAGTCTTTTGGGTTGAAGCCCAATCCCATTACAGAGGTATCAGAGTCAACCTCGGAGTAATATCATGTGGACTTGGTGGAAGTAGCATGCTGGACCACGCAGGGAGCTGTGGGACTCCATGATGAAGGCATCAGGGATTGGATAGAAGAGCTGTCATATGGTGCAGGTGTGAGTTGACTCCAACATTTGGACGCACTAGGGTGTCTTGAGCATGTGCAGAGGAATGCTTACTTCACCAAATAGCCTACTCTTTTGGGTTGAGGCTTAGGTATGTGACACTTGCTCCCTCCCAAAACAAGCAAAACCTTGAAGTACAAGACTCACATTCAAACAGCTTCCCCATGTACACGCCTTAAGTTCATTAACACCAAAAATGAAATCTAGAAATGCAAATAATGGAAATGAAGAATAGTATAAAAGGGGTAGAAACTACTACAAAGAAAGTAACACCAGTACCTCATATGACACTTAGAGCAGGCACAGCCACCACAGCCTAAGATTTCCATAAAAAAAAAAATGCACTTTCTGATATTGACAGTCATTAGGCAAAAACTGAAACAAACTGGCAATCATCTCTTTTCTAAAGTCTTAAGCTTAGCACTAACCAGTAATTTTTTTTCAAGTCTGCCAGTGATCTCTGGTGTTCCCACAAGACTATTTCAGCAAAAGGAAAAACTAAATAACAAGATTAAACTAAAATAACCAACTACTAATTAGTGGCTGATTAAGGACCACTAGAATTTTTAAGTGTATAATTTATAGTAGTGCTGGTTTGGGAATTTGCTGTTCATTAATGACTAGCATTAAATGGGTGTAACCGTAGACACATTATTTTGTTATTCCTATTCAGGGTTTCAATGTTTGAATATTCAAATACTCTCTTTATCCCTCTTCTGAGAGCTTTTTTTCTCCAACCATGTCTCCATCTTTCTCTCTACTTTCTACTTCTATCCTAACTTCTCTCCCCTTTAATCCCATCCTCTCTCTTCTACTCTGTTTGTTCTCTTGTGCTGCATCAATGTACTATCAGCTTTTGTGACCAAACCTAACTAAAATAAACTGAGTACAATAGAAAAAGAAAACTTTCTGATTCGAAGCGTTGACGACGTTGAACAGTGAAAATAATAAACCAAATTCAAAAGAAGTTAAAATTTCCAGAAAAACAGTTTTATGGGTAAATAAAAGATTTAAGTGTCATTCAAGCATTGAATCCTGATACAATTCTTTATTTGGAGAGGAAAGAATCATGCACATATTGCCTAAAATATTTGGTAACTGATGTGACCAACAGATTCAACTCCACATGCCAAAACTTCAATCAAAACTGAATGCAAACAATAGCAAATAAAACAAATTTGTAAGATATAAAAAAGAATGCAGAGCAGTATTTCTTGTTCCAAAAAGATATAAACAGTCAAAATTACATTACTTGTAATGAATGGGGCCTTAGCTAGATGGGCACATCAAACACATAAATAGTTGCTGGAAGACAATCAAGAAGCAATCACAAGTCACAACTTCCAAACTTGACAAGCTTTCCACCACATGAATATTATTAAACTTGCAACCGAAAAGATATACTAACCTGGGTAACATAATTCCCATATTGGTCTTGAGCAAGAATGCAAACGGATTCCAGGATTTCATCCACTATAAATTGGCATTGCTGCTCATCTGTGCAACGTTCTAAAACCCTCTACAAGAAACCGAAAAGCACAAAAAAGCTCCATAATGTTCTATGGACAAGAAAAAGATGAAAAAGGAGAAGGAATGATGGAAAGCTCCAGGGCTCCACCGAAGTGTAATCTTACCTGTATTACACGGCAACCATAAGGATGGGTAGAAAGTATTGCCACTTGACCACGAAAAGCAGAAATTATAAACCCAATTTTGTCAGTAGGAAGGCTCTCGATGCACTTTTGTATGACATGGTTTCCATTTTGATCACGTACACATCTCATAACATGTCCATCCAATTCATAAACAAGCTGAGCTTTTTGCTCAAGGTCAACAACTTCAAGTGCCTAAACACGCATTAAAGTCAGTTAATTTCAGTCTCAGAATGAAAAGCAACAGGTTTCAATTCTTACAATAAGCCAATTGCTTGACATCTGCTGAATAAGATAGTTTGACGCTATAGTGATAATTATCTCAGAATCTAGGAAGCTTAGAAACCTATATTCCTCAAAACGTCAACAAAAAGTCTCTTGGAAAGAAAGTGGAGGAGAAAACTGAAAAGCTTCACCTCTAGAAATGGGCAGCATTATGTCTGTTCCCAAAATTTATAATGTTTCTTAACATCATCTTCAAATATACATAGTACGACATAAGCATGGTAAACAACAAACATGCCACAACTGCTATCCAGCATATTAGGCTTAACTATGGTTCAAAGCTGCCTCGTTTGGCTTAATGCAAACATTATTCAAAGCTCTAACATTAGACTAAGTAAGACAACCACATGATTAAGTTCAGAATGTATCTATCTAAGCAATGCAAGAGCTATGCCACCAATCAGCCCAAGCTAACAGATTTCTAAATGTCTTAGCATCTATGCTAATTAACAACCACAAACAACCCGTCACTAAAAGAACAGGAAATAAAAACCTCCTATAGGTAAAGAAGGGAACAGGAATAGATATATAGAAGCTGCTTTTGCACATGCCAGATGCATAGAAATTGCGAAGCATGTTCCACAAAGTAGAAGAAGAGCACAGAAATGTTATATCCAAGGCAATTGACATTTGTAAACAAATATATGCATGCTAATCCAAGAAAAATAAGTTAACCGCCAATAAAACAGTAAAAACTAGTACACTGGGTAAATTTATTAACCAAAATATACAAGAACTACCATATAGAATCACCACTGCAGGTGGACTTTATCTCCCCATGGATTTAGACAATATATGGCAGCACCATATTCCAAATTCCGGTTAATTAACAGTCTGTTTTTCCATAGATACTGGCATCCAGATATTGATAAGTATCACATACATCTGTAAAGATGTTGATCGTAACAGCAAGCAGCCATGACAACAATATACATCTAGCAGCTTAAAAATACAAAGGAATAGAATAAACATGCTTGGCACCCATCACTATGGTGTATAGATCAGAAATACCTTTTGTATTACACGACAGCCGTACATTTGCAGACTAAAATTCAAAATCTGACCAGAAAGCTTATTTGCAAGTTCCTTTCTTTGCTCAGGGCTTCCATACTCAAAAAACTGCAAATAAGCAATGTAAAAGATTAACTAAGAAGACCAAGATGACCACCACTTACGATACAAAGTGAGGTAGGGCCTTTTTTTGACAGAAGTTTGGTAGGTATTTTGAAACATACCTTCTGAATAACATAGTTACCAAAGACATCAGTCATTAGTTTGGAAGCATGTGGAAAAACTTCTTTGAATACAGATGCCTTCTCTTCAATGCTACAATTTTCTAACTTTTGTTGAATAAATCGACTCCCATGTTGATCAGCACTATAATTGAAACATCCCACTGTTATTTAATGTTCCAATGCAAATAAATAAAAAAGGGTAAATTACAAAAAATACCTGTGGTTAAGGGTGAAATTATTTTGGCCCCTGATATTTAAAATGTAACACTTAACTACCTAAGAATTTTTTTTAGCCAACAAAATTTAACACCATTAACTAGTTAAACTCACTTTCTGCTGTGCAGCCTGCATTTTTTTTTTCTCCTTCCATTTCCTTATACTTTCAACTCGTTCACTGTCCAAGCCCATGTGATTTCTCTTTCTCTTTAATCCACAGTTTCTAGCCAAAAGAAAGGAAAATCTTTCCAAAGCTAAGGACAGAGCATGGCTCCAAGTTCCAGCCATGCACCCTCCCACCACCAATTCGTTCCTTCTTCCCTTTTCTTTTCTCTCTCATCCTTATCAATGTCTTTCTCTCCCTAAAACCTTATCTCGATACCTTACTTTGACAAACTATAGTCTAGAGTGAGGAAACGTGACACAGTAAAAGGAAATAAAAGAGAAGTCCAATTTTCTTGAATTAATTTTTGTGAAGAAATTTTCAAGTAAGAAGCAAAATACATGACCCTCATGTGGCTAGAGAGTTAACGTATCAAGCAAATTCTAATGGAAAAAACCTACAAGTTGGTCAAGCATTAGAATTTAAACCTTAGGCAGCAATCTTTTTTCATGTCAAACCACAAGGCAATTTCTTGTAATTTACCAAATAAATAAATAACAAAATGAATACTTATTGCAGCCTATAACTTGCCTGAATTCAACAATACGTCCCACAATATCAGATAGCTCGAATCTTCTGCCTTTCCCAGATTTCAACTCTTCAAGAAAATTATATATCTTGGGGTCATTAGAACTCTCAAATCCTCTTTGACCTTGCCATCCAGAATATATACCAGAACCAGTTGTAAATCTACTTTCATTCTTCCCAACAGTAACGCTTGTCCCTGCTACTTGAGATCCAGGCATAACTGGAGATGCAAGTGATGCAGATGGATATTGCATCAACATACCTAGCTTTTGAGGGTTTCCAAGGTAATGAGGACTCATCAAACCTCCTCTACCCGTAGGCAGATTACTTGATCCTCCACCTTGCTGATGTTGAATTTTCTGATCCTCTGGGTAAGCCGCAAGGTTAGACCCTTTTTGAGAGTCAAAAGCACTATTCTGGCTCCCAACAATGCCTCCCCTAGCCACAGGGTCATACTGACCAGAAATACCATATGCTTCCCCAAATGGCTGCTGATAACATTGCATATAAAGTGGATCACCGAAAGAAGATTGAACAGCATATCCAAACTGCCCATAAAACTTGTTAAGGTGTTGCATATCGGCTCCATTTGCAATGCTTCCACCAGATGAAACACCAGGCACTTGAGCATTGAAGTTTGGACCAACAGAGCCATCAAAAACAAATGGCATGGCACCATAAGGTGGGTAAGTAATAAATGGGGGAACAGCAGAAGAATTAAATCCATATCCACCTACACCATATTGAGGAGAATGTAAACCTGGAGCTTGTACGTTTGGATAAAATGGACTTGGTGTAGTCATGTATCCTGCTGCGGTTGCATAGAGTGGTGTGAACCCAGATGACTGGAGTACCGGCTGTACCTCAGCTGAGAACTTCGAAGGGGCTTGCATAAACTGATCTATGCCAATGTATGCACCATTTACTCCTTGAGGAGTTGATTGGGACTTGGCAGTTTGAACATGAAATGGGTTGCTTGGTTGTTGCAATTGTCCTTGGTGTTGCAGCAAACTGTTCTGGTAGTTGTGTTGCTTCTGTTCTTGATTCTTATGATTTTCAGAATTCCGCATGCGCAGGGTAGATATATTAAGATCTTTCATCACAGAGTCAATAACAGAAACATCTGAACCACTGGCATTGCCAACAATAACTTCATCCTTCAGATGGATATCTCTATTATGTAGAACTCCTTTTTGAAGATAAGGCATGGAAGATGTGGTTGCTGTACAAGCGTTGGACGATGAGCTTGAACTAGGTAGGGTAGTTTGATCAGCTCTTGATGATAGCCCCATATCTCCGTCCAAATTTGATGTAACAGCATTTGTAACACCAATAGAGGGGTCAAGCAGGGAATTATAATCAGCGACAGAATAATCTACTTCTGTTATTTCATAGCTTAAAGGCTGAGACCGATTATATACAGGTGAGGAAGTGCAGGGGAAGTTTTCCTGTGAGCTTATAACAAGAACTTATTAGCTACAGACACAACTCATATGAAACAAAGTGATAACTAGTGATGCAGAAATAAGTTAATTGAGGGATTAGCTTACCTAAGATTTTATATTGTACTTCTTGTTGTATTTTATAATATTTTATAGCTATGGGTTTATATTTGGTATTTTATATTTACATTAGGGTCTAGTATCTTAGTTTGTTTTCTTAATCCTATTAAGTTTTGTTTTAGTCAAGTTTATTAGTTTTCCATTTGCAATCTTAAGTATTTTCTGTAAAGTTCTACTAGTCATAGAAGTTCTAGTTCTTTTAGAGTCTGGTTGGATGAAAATTTTTTAAATTTTCAAGAATTTTAAAACAAAGGCATTTTAAAATGCATCAATGCAAAATGGTAGCATTTATAATAGTTTGAATAAATACTTTTTAGAATGAAATTCTGAGTACTGAAATTTGATGAGATAAAAAAAAAAAGTAATTATAAGAGAAAAATATTGATATTAGGGATAGAAAAATATGCAATATGGGTGTCAAATTACATATGCAACCAAGCATGCTAAGAGTATTTGACAAGTTGCAACAAATAAAGTTAAAAAGATTTTTACCTCTACTAAATTGATAGATTCATTGTGTTGGCCTACCACTAAAGTTGCATCCTGTCCAGACAAAAACTCATTATTTCTTTCTATCAAATCATCAAAAGATCGTTGGGGAGACTGATCATCCTCTGCCACTTCCTTGTGTGTAGAAAGGGAACCTTTTGAGAAATGCAAAAAACTACTAGCACTGTCATCTATAGAACTCAAAACCTGATTATTGCCATATCTAACATTATGGCGTTTAAGATGTTGATTGCCCCATGAGATAAGTCGTGGAGGAAGTCGAGGGTTAAGACTGACATTTGAACGGTAATATGCTAAGTAAGCTGGATCAGCACGTAACTGTTCTTCAGAATGACATTTTTCTAGCGCACTGTGTAAACTAGCTGAGTTCACATTAACAGTACGGTTCTGCAGGGATATAAGGTTATCAATGGCCAAATAAGAACCCTCCATGCTTGGGGGAGCACTTCCACTACGATTAGGGACTGACTCTGTTCCACTGGCATGAAACCTATGACCCGTCTGAAGCAGTCCTAATTCTTCTACTGCAACATTTGTAGATGATGCTGCAAGCTCCTGATGGGTAGGCCATTTTCCACTCATTTCTGATATTCTAATTGGACTCTCAGTTGCCATAAGAAATTTGTGCCCCTGCTTCCTTATAGCTGATGATCAGAGATGTCACATAGTCCTTTGAATGGCAGCCAAATGATATATCCAACTTTGATCAACAAGAGATGAAAATATTGCAAACATTCTTACACTTGAGACTGGGACAAGTAATGTTTTGACAATTTTCAGAAACAAGAAAAAGAAAGTACTAAACAAGGTAAATTAACAATGTAATTAATCGACAACAAACACAAGGATGAGTATGCACTGCAATTTAAATTTAAATATTTGATGATATTACGTGAAGATCAATCAGAAAAAAGTTTATTTCAAGAACAGAAAATACAATCCAGGTCAACACTAAGACATAAATAATCCTGAGGACAGAATACCAGAATTATAGACATTAGAAGGAAACAAAAAGATTATGAATATTGGCAGTTCCCTTACTGATATTCTTCATAAATACAAGTAAAGAAAAATGTCTAATCAATACATTACAGCCCCATGAATACAAACATCACGAGACCGACAAAGCTCATAAGAGCTAAGAAAAGCAAGGCAAATCAAAGAATTCATTAATTTAAAACAAAATACCTAACATTCCCCACTCAGAGCTAGTTTAGATTAATTCGTCGTAATTCCAAATGAAGCAATATAAAACAGAAAACTCACACCAAACCCTTTTGTTCCTGCTCAGTTTTCCCAGCAATCAAACAAACAAGCAAAGAACATTAAGCTAGTCAAACCCAGAGCTAATTTCATTTGAAACAAGCAAAAATAGAAATAGCTCTGCTTATACTTAAATACCAAATACTTATAAGCACAGTCCACTGATAAAATAAACAAACATTGAGAACAAAAATGTTAAAACAGCTAACTTCAAGTCAAAAGAAATGAAACCCCATGAAGAAAAATCATTGAAATAAAAGAAAAAAATCAAAATATAAGCAAGAGTTAGTGAAGACAAAAAGTAACTTTTGAAACCCTAAGTAAGCTTTAAAAAAGAGAAAAGGAAAAAGAAAAAGACTGAGCAAAAACAGTGGAAGATTCTCTTACCCAGCAAAACTGAAGCAGCAAAGATTCACTGTTCAAAAACCCTAGATTCCTTCTTTCCGACTTCCAGAGAGAGAAACAAAAAAGTCTTTGAGAGACTGTGGGGGTGCTGAGAGAGAGAGAGTTTTAAGTCAAGGCATTTAAAAAAGAAGGGAAAGAAAAGAAAAAGAGATGTTGCCATAAACAGAGAAAAAGGTGCTAATGCCAGAGCAGGATTTTGGCTAAGTTCCAGTTTAAGACTAAGTTTGAGTTTTGTCTTTGGAGGTTTGGTTTTTATTGGTTTCAGAAATCGACAAAAACAGGACAAGTTTTAGCAAAACGGCAAGACCCACCAAGTCAGGTTGCGTATAAAGTGACACGTCATAATTACATCCGGTCATTTTTAAGCTTTAACCCACCGTAATTCTCTTGTCGATTTATTTTTTGAGTTAGGAAGGTAAATGATATATTAATATTAATAAGTTATTTGAGTTCGATTAAAATAAAATTTAAATTTGATTTAATTATTAATGAATCGAATTCGAGTAATTTAATTTATCGATCGAGTCAAGTTTGAATATTTTTATATTTGATTTAAGTAGTTCACTAGTTTAATCATATTTTTATATTTAAATTTTTATTATTATTTTAATTAATAAAATATCTCGAATTCGAACTCAAATATAAATAATTAAATTTTTATCGAATATAAGAATTAAGTTTATTTTAATATATTAATCAAACTTAAGCGAACGAGTTCGAGTAGTTCGATTTCGATGACGAATCGAACTCGAACTAAAAAAATGAAACTCGATCGAATTCAAATCGAATATCAAACTTCGAATTGAGAATCGAGCTCAAACTTGAACTTCTTACTGTATCTGTATCGACTCGACTTGACTCGATTATATTCGTATTCTGAATGACATACGGTATATGCATCCAAATTCACTGATTTCGAGTTCGATTCGAATAAAATTTAAATTCGATTTAATTATTATCAAATCGAATTCGAGTAATTTGATTTATCGATCGAGTCAAGTTCGAATATTTTTATACTTGATTCAAGTAATTCACGAGTTTAATCGTACTTTTATATTTAAATTTTTATTATTATTTTAATTAATAAAATATTTCGAATTCGAACTCGAATATAAATAATTAAATTTTTATCGAATATAAGAATCAAGTTTATTTTAATATATTAATCAAACTTAAACGAACGAATTCGAGTAGCTCGATTTCGATGACGAATCAAACTCGAACTAAAAAAATAAAACTCGATCGAATTCAAATCGAATATCAAACTTTGAATTGAGAATCGAGCTCAAACTCGAACTTCTTACTGTATCTGTATCGACTCGACTTGACTCGATATCCGTACTCTGAATGACATACGGTGTATGCATCCAAATTCACTGATTTCACTCCAACTCCAACATCTTGAGGCGCCTCCGCTCACGGCCGCCGAATAGTTCAGCACCGGTGAAATCGTCTTCTCCACGGCGGCCTATCAACTCTTAAACTGACTATCTTCTCGTTTCTAAAGACCTAAAAACAAACCAAGGAGATTAACTCATTCATTGGTTAGTAATGAAACTGCCATCTCTCTTTGTTCGCCCAATCGCTCTTTTCCCTTGCAAGACAGCCAAATTTCATTCAACCAACTTGTCTTCCTCTGTCTCCCTACTAGATTTCTCTGTTTCCAATGAAATCCACTCCATTCTCGACACGGTCAACCCCATGGAACCCGCCTTGGAACCTCTTCTTCCTTTCCTTTCTCCCGATATTGTCACTTCCATTATCCAAGACCAACCCAATCCTCAATTGGGTTTCCGTTTCTTCATCTGGGCAACACAGAGAAAGCGCCTACGCAGCTATGCATCCGTCAAACTCGTCCTCGACATGCTCCTCCGCAAGGACAATGCTTTCGATATCTACTGGCAAACTCTTGACGAAGCTAAGAAATGCGGGGTTCTAATCGCGCCCGACGTCTTTCAAATCTTGATTTCGGGGTATTCGAAAAAAGATCTCGATGAAAAAGCCGTGGAGTGTTTCGGGCAGATGAAAGATTTCGATTGCAAGCCTGATGTATTTACTTATAATGCAATATTATACGTTATGATTCGTAAGAAGGTCCTTTTGTTAGCTTTAGCGGTTTATAATCAGATGCTGAAGTTTAATTATAAGCCTAATAGAGCTACTTTTAGTATTTTGATTAATGGGTTGTGTAAAAATGGGAAAACTGATTATGCGCTTAAGATGTTTGATGAAATGACTATGAGAGATGTGGAGCCAAATAGGTGTATATATGCCATAGTCATTTCGGGTTTGTGTCGATCAGATAGGGCTGATGATGCTTGTAGGCTGTTAATTAAGATGAAAGAGAGTGGGTGTTCCCCTGATTTTGTTGCTTATAATGCTTTGCTTAATGGGTTTTGTGAGTTGGGTCGGGTTGATGAAGCTTTCGCACTTTTGCTGTCTTTTCAAAAGGACGGATTTGTACTCGGATTACGTGGGTATAGTAGTTTAATTAACGGTTTGTTTAAAGCTAGGAGATATAAGGAAGCGTATGAATGGTATACAAAGATGTTTGAGGATAATGTTAAGCCTGATGTTGTTTTATATGCAATAATGCTCCGGGGGTTATCAGAAGCAGGCAAAGTTGAGGATGCAATGAAGTTGTTGACTGAGATGACTGAAAGAGGTTTAGTTCCTGATACGTATTGTTATAATGCTGTGATTAAAGGGTTTTGTGATATTGGTCTTTTGGATCAGGCACGGTCCCTTCAGCTTGAGATTTCAAGCCATGATTGTTTCCCTAATACCTGCACTTACACCATTCTTATTAGTGGTATGTGCCGGAATGGGTTAGTTGGGGAGGCTCAGCAAATGTTCAATGAGATGGAAAAGCTTGGATGTTTTCCCTCGGTTGTTACATTTAATGCTCTTATTGATGGACTTTCTAAGGCCGGCCAGCTTGAGAAAGCTCACCTTCTGTTTTACAAAATGGAAATAGGAAGAAATCCATCACTGTTTCTGCGGCTTTCTCATGGATCCACTCGAGTTCTTGACAGTTCAAGCCTACAAACTATGGTCGAGCAACTTTATGAGTCTGGAAAGATCCTTAAGGCATACAGGATTCTTATGCAACTTGCTGATGGTGGGAATGTACCAGACATCTTTACTTACAACATTTTGATCCATGGATTTTGCAAATCTGGCAACATTAATGGTGCTTTCAAGCTCTTCAAGGAGCTGCAACTCAAGGGGCTTTCCCCTGACAGTGTAACTTATGGAACTCTTATTAATGGTTTTCAAATGGCTGGAAGAGAAGAGGATGCCTTTAGAATCTTTGATCAAATGGAAAAGAATGGTTGTAAACCCAGTATGGCAATTTATAGATCACTTATGACTTGGTCAAGTCGAAGAGGGAAGGTTTCATTAGCTTTTAATCTTTGGTTGAATTATCTGAGTAGCCTTCCTGGTCGGCAAGCTACAGTTATCAAAGAAATAGAAAAACATTTTGTTGAGGGAGAAGTGGAAAAGGCAGTTCGGGGCTTGCTCGAGATGGACTTCAAATTGAATAATTTTAGTTTAGCACCTTATACCATTTGGCTTATTGGGTTTTGTCAAGCAGGAAGAGTAGAAGAAGCTGTAAAGATATTTTCTGTTCTGGAGGAAAGCAATGTTATTGTCTCTCCTCCTAGTTGTGTAAGTTTGATAGTTGGTCTATGCAAAGAAAGAAATTTAGACCTGGCAGTTGATGTGTTCCTCTATACACTAGAAAAGGGTTTCAAGCTAATGCCTCGAGTTTGCAACTACCTACTCGGGTGTCTTCTTCATTCTAAAGACAAAAGGATGCATGCCTTTGATCTTTTGAGCAAAATGAACTCTCAGGGATATGATTTGGATGCATACCTTGATGAAACTACCAAATCTCTTTTATATAGACAGCGGCATACATGGGAAATGGAAAGTGTGGCACCTGGATGAATTTTCAACTAATGCGACATGATGGTCTTGCAATATATATTCTTTTGGCTATTGCAGAAGCTTTTGAGTCAACTTATTCATGATTAATGTGGCTGAGTCCTAGTTTAAGATCAAGGCTTGATTTCATTGAAATTGGCTAAGAGGCTTTTGCTTCAGGGGAATGATCTTTTTCAAGTCTGAACTCTCCCATTCTTCTGTTTGAGTGATTCCATCTTGTAATTGTTGTACAACAAAGGCAAGGAGCCTGTCACAATTTTCTTTTCGTCACTCATTTCCTGTTGCACACTCTTCTTTGATTTCAATATGTGGAGTACAATTTTCAATGGAGTGCTTCAAGAATAACAGCAAGTGAGTTTTAGGAAAATGGATGACATTGAACTTTTGTATTCATCCTTGTATTTTGTGACTTGTAGACTGAATTAGTTTGAAAATTTATTTGTTGTCTGAAAAGTATGAAAAATTCATCTACATGAATAAAAGCTGCTTCATTATTGATTATTTCCCATCATCTTTCTTTCTGAATATTCTCTTTAGTTTATATTTGTGCCATGCAGGGTTGTTAAATCAGTGTTTGTAAATTTATTTTACCGTGTGATAAAAATTTGGTGATAGGATTTGGCATATTATATTTATGTATTTTTTTGGCTGTTTGGTCTTGGCCTTCATCATCTTCTTGCTTTAATCATTTTCATTATACATAATATTTTACTTTGCTTTCTGACGTCAAGGTTTTGTTTTGCCGTAGAATATACAGTTATAAAAGTTATCCTTTTATTGCCTTTTTCAATGAAAAGAATTCTGATGAATTAACAGCTATCACCGTTTTGGCTATTGTGTTGGTAATTCAGAAGAGATTCAGACTATATTATTTTCCGCAAACATAAATTTATTTTGATATGTTGATTTCATGAGCATTTAATTTTAGTATTGATATGGTTATTTTGTTTGCAATGATGTTGCTAAATCTGCTAGTAAGTCCTGATTAGCAACATGTGATGCCTGTGTGTAATTTGAGTTTATTCTCCTATATGCTGCTGGATGTTGGTGTCTTCAACTAACTCATTTTAGCAGACAAATTTGAGCTCTAGTAGACATGGTTTCCTTCCTTTTGTCCCCTACTAGGTTCCAAGCCTAAGAGGGAGAAAACAGAGGAGAGCAAAATATTTTTTAGCATCCCAGCTACTCGCAGTTCTACTTTTTCTCACTGTGATGGGGAATATGTTTCTGGTGACTTGGAGCTTGATGATGGTGATGAAGGCTTTGCTCACTCTCATTAACCTAAAAACTTGGGCCCTCATTACAACCATTTTCCCGTTGTTACTGACAAGGCTAGTAATCTGTTGAGGTTGAATTTGTAATACCTTAATCCAATGTGAATGCAAAAGTCTGTTTTTATGAAATTGCTACTTGCAAAAGAATGAATTTGAATCCAACCAATTTGACTAGTTTGTACAAAATATTGCAAGGCATATTTGTTAGCCATACTTAGTGCATTTACATTCCTTTTTCTCTAGCACAATCTACTTCCAAATCCTTACATAAACAGGTTAATGAAATTAGGTCATTTCTTGATTGATTCACAGGAACTAGTAGTTGTCTACTAACTGCCTCTGCTTGCATTTCTGTTTGGTTGCTCTGAAATTAAAAATCCTTTAACATTTTTTGAAAGTAGCATCTTCCCTTCTCTTGCTTGGTCATGTTAGCAACCAAATATAGCTAAAATTGTAGAAGATTTATGTCTAACCTCGCAACCTTGTGACAACATTTGTAATTACAGACTCATAACCAGACTACCTATAACAAAATTAAATTACATCCCAGTAACACTTAAATTTTGTGGCAATTTGGCACTTGCCCATTGGTTAACGAGTTCTGCATAGCCATCTGCTGAACCAATGGCAAACTCACTCAGTGAACTTATAGCAACGGACATTCCAGCACAAAGTACCCTTATGGCAACATCAGCCAGTTTCTCTGCCGTCATAACCTCTTCCACTTCATGAACCCTTACCAAGTCCATACTTTCCCCATACTCCTCAGATAAACCAGCTCCATACCTCTTAGACCCCACTGGGACAAAGCGAGAATCATCTCTTAACTGCTGTGTATAGAGCGACCCCATTCCAGCTGCAAAAAAATCTAGCCCATCGAGGACTGGCATTTCACGAATAGCATCAAGGAACCTTGACCATTGGATGCAAAGTCCAAATATTGCAAGTGTCCCATTGGATTGACGAGGAGAAAAGGACAGCTCGGATGTATCAGGGTCTGACCTCAAGCAGCGGAGGAGCCAACCGCTTAGAGCACGCAAATAGGATCGCTGAGAAGCAATCCATGACTCAAAACAAGCTCTCCAATTCCTCAGCTCAGTTTCAAGATTTGCAGCTGCTCGGGCTAAACGGTGAGGTTCAGCAGCTGAGATGGAAGACTGCCTTTTTGCTTCTAGCTTTGAAGGTGCACCTGCTAGTAAAAGCTTAGCTTCATCTAAGGTCCGCTTTTGTGCCTGGTGACACTCTGCCATCACTTTCCACATCCTGGCTAACCTGTTGTTTATGAATTGAAAAATTAGTTAGAAATGATATTGATACATTTAACTTGACTATGCATGCACTGATTAATAAAAAAAATACTATTTTTGCTGTTAAATGTAGCATGGTTCTGCCAAAGAGATCAATTTCAAGTACACAAGATATTTTTGAGATGTTGACTCTAGCCAACCTACATTTTCATGCATCTGGGGCTCCCAGCGGTAAAAAGAGCATACACTTATGGACAATAATATTCGTTTATGATGAGAGCGTCCTGAATACTGAATCGTTTAACTTTGCAAAACAATAATCAAATAATAATAAAAATAGTCAATAATAGTGGCATACTACCTGATGAAAATGCAATAAAAATTTAACATCATTGTAAAACTAAAAGGGTGGAATATTTAATATCAGAAAATTCTCAACTTCTTCGTTCCTTCTTTAACAATGGAAATTGACCATTCATGATTAAAGATGTTAGTATTTGTTAATGATGCATGTTTTGAAGACAACATACAAGTACATATTGATTCAGAAAGAAATCTATGTAAGGCAGTAATATCATCATGATATGCACCGGAAATAATCTTTTGATTACTGCATGGATCCAGCTTAACAGTGTTTGGAGAATGGCAAAGACCAAATCTTGATACCATTGTACAATGAAACCCTTCTTTTTTTTCCTTAGCATTTGATGGGATTCATTAATGACAATAAAGGTGCCATTAAAGAAGTGGAAACCATCACCATAGGTGAACGCATACTTCTGGTGTACCTCAAACTTTTACCACTTTATGGGTAAATTATAGCATTTCTTTGAAGGCTCCTGTAATTATATTAACTTTCTGCAGTAATTATATACAATGTTGTGAAACTAACATACCCTTGTAACAATTCCAGAAGTTGAGGCTGCAACTCCTCATCCCTTAGAGTTTCGATTCTCTTTGAGATAGCTTCAACTGAATGTATTGAGACCTTTATCTGGGTGTGCAGATCTCTAATAGCTGCCCTTGTTTTATCTACTGCATACGCGTCATCTCCCTTCACATCTTGGTTTCTGAGCTGCCTGCTTTTCTTCTCACAGGCAATTCGAACCTTTTCTCCAGACTGTTCAGAAAGTAAGCAATCAGTTTCCTTTATTAATTGGAAAACACAGTCATTTTCTAATAAAATCTTATAGGGCACCTTTCTGGAAAATCCAAGGAGTAATACTTCTTTCCAGGAAAAAAAAAGCAATATTCCTAATGAATATGATTTTAAGAATCAATGGCAGTAAATTTTAAAAAACAAGGTGGAGTTGCCATGACTGATTTGAATGTAGAAGATGAAGTTGTATTTTCAATTTTTCTTCCCACCTTTTCCTTTGGTCATCACTACTTTTAATTTCTTTAAAAAAAAATCTATTTGAACAGTGGTTACTGAAATCAACCCAAGCAATAACAACACTCAGTAAGTTGAAGTATACCTTGACTTCCTCATAAAGTTTCTTCTCCCAGGCATACAATCTATCCAATGTTGATTGGTGGCTGCCATGAAACATGCAGGATTCTTCTGAGAAGTCGCTGCTGCTTTCATAACCTGCCTCTCTGGAACTTGAAGAATTGATTAAGAATCTTGATGAGGATGAGCGTGATGAAGCAGAGCGCAATAAAGCCACCGGATTCAACATTTTCATGGCTGAAAGGATAAATATTTCAAATCAATATGCAGAAACTTAAATGATCAGAAACAAGCAACCTTCTCTAACTTAACCTTTGTAAAATGTTAGATTAAAAAATTGAAAGTAGAATGTCGAGTTTGGATTTAGCATTTCTAAGTAAAGCTACTACCAGCCTATGCAAGTAAAATTGTTGACGGTAGCAAAAAATAGCCTTTTGTATTTGGACATCTAACAATCTAATTTTGAGCTGCTTATTTTCTTGATGTGATCCAAATTTAGAGATATGCCCTATAACAATTGCGTCCAAATATATTTTTTATTCGGATCATAACGAGCCTTACCACATCTAACTAGATATTGCCCATGGGTTGAGATTGTAAAGAACCAACTATGAGTAAACAACATGGCTAAGGAATTGAACCAATGCACAGAGTGAGGCAAAAAAAAAAAAAGAAGAACGCAATGGAGTAAGGTTCAACCTGTAAGCTCATTTGAGGTTGGTGAGTACTGAGCTTTACTAGCCTCCAACATTGCTGAGACTTCGTTCGCTGCATTGCAAACTACCATGAATTGAACCTCAAGATCATTGATAACTTCTGCCATGCTTGTTGGCCTTCGATTTACATAAACAGTAAAACCTGGTGTTTCTTCTTTAGCTTCATTACCACCAAGTGCCATTTCTTTGTTACTGACTTCAACTTGTCCTGCAGTTTGTGCTCGTACTGCTTCTATGCTCACTTTCCCTTGTGATTGTAAATCTTTTACTTCATGCTCAGTTGCAGTTTCAGTTCCACCATCCATTTCCTCCTCATCCTCTTCATCCTCATTAACATCTTCAACAGTAACTTCTTCTCTAGTATGGTTTGTATGTATTTTAGCTTTTCCTTCTGCCAAATTCACCTTACTCTCAGATTCTTCTTGTTCAGTTTCATCTTCTTCTAAATCAGGAATTCCTTCCTCCTCCCTGACCTGCCTTAGTCCTCTGATATCATCATCCACGACTGCCTGATCAAGACTGCTTCGGTTGGGATAGCCATAGTGGTCTAATGATGAAAATGGATTCCAGAAAAAGTCCCATTGTGATGTTTGAGGTGAAGGGGGAGGTATATTGGGTCTATTGTTGGGAGAATAAGAAAAGAATGAAGAATTCATTGGTGAGGATTGCATTGCATAAATACCAGCAATGCTAAAATGGTGTACCGGGGAGTAAGTTTCAATTCGGACAGTTTCTGGTGATTGAGGTCTCTCCTCAACTGCAACTGCAGGGTTACCACCTGATCTCAGGTAATTTACTTTCAATGTGGACTTGCCATTAGGTTGAATTGCCGCTGGTGAGAAGGATGTGGGAGAAATAGATATGAAACCAGGACTTGCTTTCTTGAGAGGTGTGAAAGGTGGGGTTACAAATGAATCAAATAAGAACTCGCGGGGCTCATCACCTTCAATATAGTCTCGAAGAGCTGCAGAAACTCTTTTTAAGGATTGAATATAGGCTATATGCCCCGAGGCAAATCTGGTCCTTTGCTCTACTGCCTGCTTAATGAAAATTTTCCGATCTTTACAAAGCTGAACTGCCTCTTCATCATCCAGTTTTGATGTAGAACATCCCATGATCCACTTCCTTCTTTACCAATATATTATATACGCAGCTGATTTTTCAGACTTGAACCAAAGCAGAAATCAAAAGGGTGTTCCTGAGTATTTCTAACCAGATTCATATGGATTTTTCCCAGGCTGTTCAGCAAAAACAAATAAGCTTAATAACTTGAACCATTTTCATGAAAAATCATCAAGAAGGAAAAGATTTCCTGAGAAATGAAATTAAGAATGGGTAGATTAACATATCAACAGATTCTTTAGCTGATATACAAGGAAATAATTTTATAAAGTTATTGTGCTTTCCTTAAATTTCAAGTCTTAGAACATATCAAACTTGTGCACCATAACAAGGAAATGGAACATCCTTTTAAGCTTTCTCCAAGAACTTTTCCAAATATGGGAAACTGTAAAAGATAGTATATGTTCTTACTAAGAAATTGTTTACAGAACAACCTACTAAGCCTAACACGAAGGTGAGTAAATTTGAATAAATTGCAGTTCTGTAATTGGGAAGAAATATTTGAGGTAGTTTACAATAAAGAGTTTACTGTTAACAAAGATCATGACCAAAGGCAAAGGATGAACAGGAAAACATACCAGCCTTTTAACAGTAACAACATAAGCTGATTAAAAAGAAAGTGGTAATAACATAAGAAGAAAAATGCATAGGACCCAGAATAAAGATGAAAAAAAATACTGAACTGTTGCCTTAAAAGAAACAGAGAAAGATCTCAGAATTGCTATTTTCAATTACAAGGCAGCCAGAAAAGGACACACAAAAGAAGATAAGATGAGAATTCAAATAAGCTGTTCATTAGAAAGGAAATCAAACGGAAAATCATCACAAACATTAGATGTTCTTCTTAAAGAAGAAGGAAAAAAAAAAAACCCTGAACCCACTTTTGGATCTTGCAAAATGGGGTGGAAAAATAATAGAAAAACCATTCCAAAATTAATGAAAACATCCCACTTTTGTTGATAAATGTTTTCAGATACAAATATAAAGCCAATTTAATCATGAAAAAAAACCCAGATGAAGTAAAAGGTTAAAAAACCAAAAGAGCTGGAAATTTAATTCCATAAAAACAAAATTTGAAGCCTTCTGTGAAACAAAGTCATTTAAGAAAGAGAAACATTGTGCCGAAAAGGTGCAGCAAAACAAAGCATGAAAATGTAAACCCAAAACAAACCCAAAAAAAAAAAGAAAAAAGTACTAACATTTCATTGTTATTCGAAGACTCTTATTACAAGTAAAAAAATTAAAAAAAAATAAAGAAAAAAATTCATACCAAGGAAGAAAGATGGAGTTGCTTGCTTGGGCTTTGATCAGAGAGGGAGAGAGAGACGTTGAGAAAGCAACGGTCAAAAGGCAGATGAAAGAGAGTGGGAAAATAAAAATAAAAAAAAACAAAACAAAACAAAACATGAACAAGAAAATACAAAAGCTAAAGTTTCAGGTTGGACTTTGGAGAGCTAACTAAAGCAAGGGGACAGAGAATATGAACTTGTCAGAATGTTTACCCTTCATGCCTCACTTTATTTCAATAATGCCACCCATTCCATCCACTGGCTGGAATTGCTTTAGATTCCATTTTTATTTATTTATTTTGGGATTGTTGCTGGGATTTGTTTGTTTTTAAAATACAGTTTTGATGAAATCATGCGACTTGCATTTTTAAACAGCTGGAACTAGGAAAAAAAAAGAGCTGATAGTAATCACATGCATGATTGATGGACATTAAAAAAAACCTAAAACAGTCAAAGATTTTGTGTTTATTTCCTTAATTAGAGTATAAAACAATTACTCCCCATCCCGTATTAATTGTTCACATTTAATTTTTTACAAAAATTAAGAAAATAATTGATTTTAATTTATTTCAATTTTTTTTGTCTGCATAAGATTAAAAAATAAAAATAATTATCTCATTTTTAAAATCAAAATAAATTGTTAACTCAATTACAATTTATAAATTTATTAAATTTTTATCTACGAATTACGAGAGACTGTAGGGAAACTCAGGTGCTTGTGCACTAAGACTTTACCCTTTATCGTATGTGCCAACCCTTATCAGCATTTTAAATTAAAAAATGGGTAGAAATCCAAAATCGAAAAAGAAATTGGCATATTCTTTATTTTCCCACTAAAAAAAAATAAAAGTTAAAGCTGAACCTTTGTTTCATGTCAGACCAGAACCTTCTTCCGCTGGTTTCTCACCCGCCGCCAAAAGAGCTTGAGATAAGGATTTCCAATCACACTGAATCCCATCTCCATCTGATTATTATTTCCAAACTAAAGGACAACAATTGTATTGAGCCCTTGATGATGGGAGGACCCAAGTAGCATTTGGACACATGTCTCTAGTCAATGGTTAATCATTTCATTCCTGAAATAATTCTACCTGAAAGGAGGGTATTTTGGTTAATTCAAGCTCATTTCAAGGACATTTTTGGCAAAAAAAATTACTATAGAGAATTTCGATTTTTGAAAAAGCGAAAAAGAAAGTCGGCTCTAAAGAAAAAGAGACGCCCCGGTCCCACACTCAACAATGGATGCCTCGGTTACAGTGTTCTCAAATATCGCCCACCACTTTTTAATCAATTATCGAAAATGCCATTGGATGGGAGGTTTTTTTTTGGTTGGGTTTTATTTGGGATAGCAAATTAAAGGACATAATTAATAGAATCAGGGGTTGGGTTTGTGACGCATGATTGGGCCTTTTTGGGCAAACTACGGCTTATCGGGCCATCCCTTTAACTAAAGAGGGGCAATTTGAGGCAGCCCAATTTCTTATGCCCTAAGCAAAAAATAACCTTCCTTTTTCTCCTCTTTTGTAATCCAGCCACCATCGACTGGCAGACCGTGGCGGCAGTGCTTCTCTCCCTTTCTCTTCCCTCTATTTTCCATCTTTTTGAAGAACGATGAGGAAGCTAAAGTTTCACGAGAAGAAGCTGTTGAAGAAAGTAAACTTTTTGGAATGGAAAAGAGAGGGTGGCCACCGAGAGAATCTCGTTATGCACCGTTATCATGTCACTGGTCGTGACGATTACAAGAAGTACATAATTTCTCAACTTCCTTCCGTTGGTTCTTGAATTGGGTTCATTGTTAGTCTTGGCTGTCCTTTTTTTTTTTGTTAATTATGGTGGGTTTGAAATTGAAAACAGATATTCGAGTTTGTGCCGGATGGTGCAGAAGTTGGTTAATATATTGAAACAAATGGACCCCCGGGACCCTTTTCGGATCGAGATGACTGATTTGCTGTTAGAGAAGCTGTGAGTTTTCTTTATTGAAATATGTTTAATCATAGTAATTCAGGTGTAATCTAGTGGTGAATAGTGTTTGCATTGTTACTTGGAACTTTTTTTCTTTCTATAATATTTTTTAGGGAACAAAGGAAAGCTGGTGGCTTTGTTATGAATGAATATTTCATGTTTTTAACATGTAGAAATGTATAATAGAATATGAAAATGGTACTACTTTAGGCTTGTGTTTTTCAGTGTTTTTGATTTGCTGCGTACTTTTTCTGGTTTTGATGTTTTAGAGAATGAAATTGAGTTGAAGAACTGATGCTGCCGAGGAGGATTAACAGAATAGGGAGAGGGGGGAAGAGGAATTAGAGAGAAAAGGGGAGAAAAGGGATGGAATATATATATATATATATATATATATAGAGAGAGAGAGAGAGAGAGAGAGAGAGATTTTACTTTCCAAACATCTCAAAGTTTGAATGAAAATGACAAAATAGATAGACGAGTTATACTGACACTTAATGTATCCTATTGTAATAAACAGAAAATTTTGAGGATTCATCCTAGGCATAAGTAAACTCCTAAGAATGCCCGAAAGGTGGTCTTGAATCTAGGATGCCCCTGACTATGCTTCTGCAAAGAAAGCAAAAATCATTATTTTCACCTTTCAGATCATTGTGCTTCTTAATCAGTATTACCTGAATCCTTTACCGTTCACTGATGGATATCATTACTTGATTTCTATATACATGCTTGTTATGAGATCATTCAATGGAAGAGATAAAGATGTGAGATTTCAAAATACTTGACTTTCTTTAAATGCATGAGTTTGCATATCTTAAGCAAAAGACTTGATTCATCTGTTGTTTTCATATTGGCAGATACAATATGGGTGTAATCCCTACCAGGAAAAGCTTGGCTCTATGTGATCGGTTATCAGTATCATCTTTTTGTAGGTAAGCGAATGCTTCTGAGAATGAATAATATTTGACCTGGAATGGTGCTCATGTGATTGCATAGACCTGGAATGGTACTCGTATGAATGCATGGAACAGTTGAGAAAAAACTGTGCTGTTCAATGGCTTTTGTTTGACCTGAATTTTGTTCCACCGCAAGAATTAATGTTGTGGCTGTTTTTGCCTGAATAGGGCAATAGATGTAAGTACATGATGTGCCCTTCTTCTTTCATATGGTGATATTCTTTGTTTGCAGACGTAGGCTTTCAACTGTCTTGGTGCACCTAAAGTTTGCAGAGCACTTAAAAGAAGCAGTCACATATATTGAGCAGGGGCATATTCGAGTGGGTCCAGAGACAGTGACAGACCCAGCATTCCTTGTAACAAGGAACATGGAAGATTTCATAACATGGGTAGACACATCTAAGATACGGAGGAAGGTGTTGGAATACAATGAGAAGTTGGATGATTATGATGCAATGAACTGAAACATACGCTTGAGTTTTAACCTACAAGACTTCTTTCATTGGCATTCTTTACAAAGATGTAGATTGACCAAGATGCAGGGCAGAGTGATGGAATACTTTATGAAGCTGGATCCATGGTGCTGTGAACTGTGAGACACTTGAATGCTAATATAATACAGGGGTCTCGATTTCTTTTTGTTTTCTATATTCTCGGTTTTGTCTCTGAAGGTGATTGAGGGTTTTGTTGTGTTATTCATATGTTAATTATTAGCTGGGGAAAAGAGCTTGCTTTGTTATTTCAAGGACTGTTTTCTTTCTGTATATCTGAAATTTTCTCCCAACTGTGGGCTTTTCGTATGAGACACTGGGGAGCCTTGTCTGTGACAACAGGTGGGGGGGATTATTATTGTGCAATCCTTTCGGGAGAGCCTGCGTCGACAAGAGGAAAGAGAAAGGGAGAGGTAGAGGTAGAGGGTACGTGGCCAGTTAGGAGTGCAACTGAATGGCTGAGCTTGTAGGAAGTAGAGAGAGATTTTTCTTTTTTTTTTTTTTTTGTAGATTCGGCTTGAGATATTCAAATCAAAGAAATGGTGGGCTCCTCCATGATGAAGGTATTTGTGGGCTCCTCCATGAGGAAGGTAATCAAGAAAGGATAGTATTTCTGCCGTGGAGAAGAATAGTTTTTCACCAAGTTTTCTGTTACGCTGGCAGATGCGTTATTTCTTCCTCGTAAAAAACCTCAAATCCTTTAGTATCCTTTATCATATAACAATTGATTTAATTAAAATTTAAATCATTAAGATAAAAACTAAATATTTATTTCTTAAAATATTTGATAAAAGCGGTATCTTATGAATGAATTATCCCAAGCAGTCCAACAAGGACTTCAAGTCTTTATCAATTATTATGGGGTCCTCTCCCAGTAACATATAATTTGATGACCAATGATATGGGGGGCCAAAACTAATGTTATTGAAGGAAACCTCATAGCAAATGGAAATAAAAAGGTTAATACCGAAATAAAAAATTCTTTTGAGTAGCATTTGTCCGAAAGGAGAACAATCAGTCAAAATTTTCGTACAGCCAATCTCCCCATATCTTCAAATTTATAGTTGCATTGTTTGTATGTACAAGCCAGACAGACAGGCAGAGTCAGTGAGATACAGCGTGGCCAAAATGAGAGAGGAGAGGACAAACTACAAAGCAAAAAAGGTGTAATGCATTATCCAAGCATGAAGCAGCTTTGCTTTTGATTTTTGGAATTGAAATCTAAAGCAAGTAAAGCAATTGACAGACGATTAACAAAGCACGAGTGGGCAACCCACTACTATGTCTAGGGATGATTGCAGGCCGAACTATTTACAACTCAATAATTATTAGGCAATGGTGGTGATGACACAACCACCACATTTATCTTTTGGCCTCTGATTGATAATTGCCTCTATTCTCTGAAGAAGAATATGTCGAAAATATTCTAAAACATGGTTTTGGAATAAATATATAAATTAATGGCCACCACTGTGTTTGTATTTTTTGCATCGGAACGAGGAGAACAATGTCCATGATCCTGTTGCTGAACAAAAAGCTTGAATTTTGATTCACATTACACCTATTTGCTATTAATTTTCTCCATGATTGCTTAGCCTGGCACCTTTTAGTGTCAAACTAGTAATACCATCTTATCGACTTCAAAAATATATATAATTTTTAAAAAATAAAATAAAAAAGAAGATTTCGACTAATGTATTAATTTAATTTCTCATCTAAACATGTAGAATGAAACAAAAATTAATATCTTTAAAAAATAATATCTAACAGGTTTAATTTTTTTTTTATATTATAATCTTTTTATAAAAAATTTAGAGTTTGAATTTTGGAATACAATCAAACTTTCAATTACGTCAAAACTTACTAGGAAACGATATATAGCGTACCAAAAATGTACTTTTTGTAGCTTAAAAGCAAACAGGTGGCAGAGCAAATATAAGTTCTATTATTTATTTGTTGACAGATATGAAACATTACGTGGGTTTCTATATATATATTTGAAACTTTTTAATCTTAATTTTCTAAGTGCTGGAATATTTTCCCATCCAATATTGGCAAATGGTGGGAAAATATTCAATGTGGGATATATAAAGAATTGAGCATCTTTGGACATAAAAAGAAAGAGATATGACAAGGACATTTAGGAACGAGCATCTCCAAAAAAGTTGACAAAATAGGATGACAAAGTAAGCAATTCAGCTTTGATTATTGATTAATTATGTAGTAACTAAAGAAGGATATGCATGTTATATAAGAAAGTGGGACGACCTCAAATGAGCAATTACTTCCAATAAGATGGACAATATTTTATAATTTTTTGGTAGTGGATTAGTAGTGCAGGTAGCTATTTACTAACTATAGATCAAATGTAGAATCATTCATATTTAGTGGTGATCATTAAATATAAAAGTGTTAGTGAAAATTGCTCGTACGGATTTTGATAATTTGCTAAGCAATAACATTTCGTTCTCAATAGTTAAAAGTAAAAAATAGTAAAAGAAAATGATATTGATTTCATCTTGTTATTATTAAAATGATGATAAAAGAAATGCTTTATTGAATTTAAAATTTAATCCAATTGATTCATATAATTACTTTTAAAAAATAATATCTAATAAATTTAAATTTAAATATAAATACTTACAACCTTTTTCTTTATTTACTATCTCTAAAATACCACCTTATTTGTTAATTAATATTTTTATTAGATATTCATCTTGAAATTTATCAGTTATATTTTTAAATCTCACGTTAAAAGTAAATAATTAAAATTTTAAAAAAAAGCACCGTACGTATTGTGATGAATTGTGAGCTATATTGTTAAAACTCTTGGAATCCAATAGTGCGACCCTAAGCCATATATTTGGAATTTTATTCCGTGGATTTCTAAACTATTAGTGCATATGCAAGGCATGTAACACAATATTTCTGAATTAAAAGCTTATCTTCTCTAATAATGGATTAAGCTAACCCTAGCTAGCCAATCAGGCAAAATCAAAAGTAAACTATATATATGTATCATCTATTAAAAATTTTCTTCCACTCGCCATTCTTTTGATTAAATATACTGAGTACCTTCATTGCATTTCAGCTAAACACATATTGGCCTTTTTATGTAGTTAATGTCTTTAAATAGGACCATCACTCTGCATATTTTATGCATCATTTAGTTGGGAATTGGGATGCCACTTTACTTGCAAGATAATGTTAAATATATACTGAGATGTCTTACGAAATAGACAACACTCAAAGGGTATTTATTATTATTATTATTTGTTATAAAGAAAACTACAGTTTAAAGAGATTAAAAAAATTGTATTGATTGAAAATCAGATCCTAACCTTTCATTTCTTTGCATTATCAAATGTACATGCATGATGCATGATGCATGATTGGCATGTGAATTATGCAGTCAATGTTTTGTCAATAGTAAATGTATTTAAAAAATAGCAAATATATGTATATATTGAACTTAAACTTATCTCAATTGATTCATGTAATTACTTTTAAAATGATGACATTTAATAAATTTAAAATTTAAATTTTAATACCCTCAAACCTTTTTTTTTTTTTATCCTCAAGCTGCAATCTGTTACATACAAAAAAAAAAGTATATATATATATATATATATATATCTTTTTTGGCAAAAAAAAGAAAAATGGAATTCAATGCTTAATCAACAGTATATATGATTATTCATCTATACATATATTACAAGGGTAGATGCAATTCACAGAAAATACAATTCTCAAAATGAATTATGATAGAATTGTGGTGTTTAAGGTCTCACTATTTAATCAACAGTACTATATATATATATATAAATATGATTATTGGTCTATATATACATATATTAGAGGGGTCTATGCAAATGCAATTCACGGAAATTTTTTTTTTTTTTTGAACCAGACAATTCACAAACTTAATTATGATCGAATTGTGGTGTTTATTAAGGACTTTCTGGAAGGTCATGATTATAAAACGAGTGCACAAAGAAACGAAAGAAGATAATTTTCGGTCTATTTTAAGCCACAAACTTTGTCCATCCGCAGAGTATCCCTTGTTTGTGGCAAGAGGTAACTATCCTTTATCACTTCGTTGGGACTGCTATTGACATGATCAATTTATTAGATCATATTTGAATTGACACGAAAATTATGAGAAAAAAAAAAAAAAAAACTCTTACTGCAGTGTGTTTAATTATGAGAAGTCGAACTTGATTTTATGTAAATTAAAAGAAATATTTACCTATCATTGACTCGAAATCATGTAATTCAAACTCTCTTATGTGTGAAAAAATATTCGATAGCCTAGTAAGACAATGCTAGCAAAACACAACATGGCCTATATACCTCACTTATACCAATTCAATCAGTATTACTTTTTTATTTTTCATAGATACGCATGTCAATTAAGTATAAATTATGGTACATAAGCTAATTATTCACATCGAAAATTCCCTTACAATGAAGAAACACAATTTTAGGCAAGTTCCCAGAACAAAAATTCTCCATTATTGCCAGCTTGTTGACAATTTTGAGAAATAAGTGAGATACACGGTTCGTAGGGGGTATAAAATAATGCCCTCGGCTTGTGCCTTTCATGGCTTCAAATTGGGCTCCGCAGATACAATGGGTTTGACCATTTTTGACTCACTTTGTCCACCCGAATCTGACCCAAAACTCACAATAGATAAAAATGGGTCCCCATCTCTGACCCATCATCCAAGTCAGGGTCCCATAGAATTTAGGCCTAATGCAAATCATAGGCTACAAAATTGTCACGCAAAAACGGATTCATAAAAGGTGGCAGGCAGGTTCTTACGTTTCGGAAAAACTCTTGCTTTGAATTGAACGTCTTATTATTATTATTTTTTTATATGACACAAAGTGTGGATTCATACGTGGATAACATTCCAATTTCCAACACTAAACAGATTCTCCACCATTTCCCTGTCTCTTCCGCACGAGAGAAAGGTGAGTGAGTGAGATGATATGGGCATGGATGCCTTATATTCCCCCCACACCACATGCAAAATCAAATCAAATTCACTAGTTTGGCCACAATTCTTTGATTTCTTACTAAATATTGTCTTTTACATAATTTTTTTACATAACCATCTTCTCAATCACCAGTCCCCCTCCCAAGGCCCCAACCATCTCTATTTAAACAGGCTCTCTTCTTACCTTTAAACCAATTCTAATATCCATCTGCTCCTTTCCCCCCATTTCTTTTTTTTTTTTCGTTTTTCCTGACTTCTATTACAAAGGTAATGTTTCTAACTCCAAAGCATCCATTTTGGACCATGACAAAAATTCTAATGATTCAAAATACAAGCATAAATATCTTTCTTCGTCTTAGTTTCGTTTCTTCCATTGTTAGTTTAAGGCTTTCATGAGTTTCTTTTCTGTCTGTTCCTCTTTTGTTTCTATCAATCCCAGATTACAGACAATAAACAAACTTTAATAGACAATTAACAAAAATCTTCAATTTGAATCAGATTTTAATTTTTGTTTCTTGTTTGCAGCAGCCAATAGACAGGGTAAAAGTTTAAAAATGGCTGCAAAAAATAAACTTCAGAAGAGCTATTTTGATGTGTTGGGTCTCTGCTGCTCCTCTGAGGTTCCTCTGATAGAAAGTATATTGAAATCTCTTGAAGGTGTCAAAGAAGTATCTGTGATTGTTCCTACAAGAACTGTCGTTGTTCTCCATGACAATCTCCTTGTTTCTCAGCATCAAATTGGTAGCTTGTCCCTTAATTATCCTTCTATCCTTTTTTCAATCTATATATTTATATATTAGTACTTTATTATTTCTGAAACGACTTTGAGTTGATAACATAAGTATTTGTTACATAGAAAATACAATTTGATCTTAAATTTTTAAAATTTTTGGCAAGTTGGTGAAAAAAATATGTTTGTATTTTAAAATATGAGGCTAAAAATATAGTATTTCCAGTATATTCTTTTTCTCTGTTTTTTTTTTTTTCATTTTTGAATGTTTTTCTTAGGGACATCATTTCACTGCTAAAATAATTGGAATCTTACGTTCATTGATAACATTTGCTTAATGGTTTCCCGTTGGAGGCAAATAAAAAAAAATTATTTACTCTTTTCATAAAATAATGTTTGGAAGAGAGTAAAGCTAAAATTTGGGCCGAAGGAGGATCAGGCGTGTAAAGTCAAATGGTGGGAAGGGAGTTTTGTTGTAAGTACTTTATGGTAACCGTCTTTTAACAAAAGTTAAAGGAGTGCTTTTTGCTTTTTTACGAAGGAGCGAGAGGCTGGTGATAAAGAAAAATTATTATAAATATTAGAATTTAAATTTATTAAATATTATTTATATAAATTAATTAAATTAAATTTTAAATTAAAAAATATATAACCGCAAAAAATAATAATACTAACAAAAAAATAGGAAGACAATTTGTCTAAACAAAAACAATCATTTCCTAAGTGCATATGTTACTATTCTTTGAAAAAATTTTAATCTGTTCAAGTTACAGCAGAAATAGGAGTTACAGTCGTTAACAAGAGGTTAACTTAATTAGTAAAAATCGTTTATTTTAATATGAAAAATTTAATTTAAATTTAGTAGATGATTTTTTGTTAAGGAATTTTTTCGAATTTATAATTTATAATAATTATTTTTAAATTATTAGATACAATATGTTTTATTTTGATTTAAAAGATTGAATGATTCATTTATTTTAATTTTTTCTTAAAAAAGTTAGAGTTGAATGTGATATTATTAATTTTTTATTTTTAAAAGAGAGTTGATAGTATTTATCATGCCATCTGGTTTCTTCACTTTCGAATTAATTAATTCTTTTAAAGTACGTAGCCAATGAAAAAAAAATCCTCAATTTCTCATCCTATATCAACTTCTTTTAATCATAAATCATGTAGGACTAGATAACTTTCAAGAATGATAATAAAAATAAAAAAATACTAAAAAAAGTATAACTTTTTTCTTACAAATTTCATTTGTTAATAAATATGAACAACTCATATATATAGTATATGATTGGCCAACGTTTTATGAAATAGGATGCGTGTGTGCTTTCTTGCTACATCAATGATGCAATAATTTGTTGAGTGGCTCATTATACATGCTTTATATGAATGGTTAACAGAAGACCACCACTGTTTCTTGTTATTTTTTATTTTTTGGAATTTGTCACCAAAAATTGATTTTATTTTATTTTATTTTATGTATTTTTGCATACAGTTAAGGCTCTAAATCAAGCAAGACTGGAAGCAAATGTGAGAGCACATGGGGAGATCAAGTACCAGAAAAAATGGCCAAGCCCTTTTGCAGTGGCTTGTGGGTTGCTGCTTTTGTTATCATTTTTGAAGTATGTTTACCACCCTTTGCAATGGCTAGCTGTAGGAGCCGTGGCTATTGGCATCTGCCCCATTGTTTTGAAGGGCTATGCGGCCATTATGAATTTCAGGCTCGATATCAACATTCTTATGCTCATAGCAGGTAAATTCTTTTTACACTACTTTTCTTCTTAATTTCATACATGAAATTGTAAGTTTTTCTCCTTTATCTGAATCCCGAATGTCTATGTTTTTTACTCCATCAAGTACAATTAAAAAAAAAAATTTAAACGACAAAGAATTTTTATTTATTTTAAATAAAAATATATATGGTACTTATCATCGAATTAAATGTGCGGATGCTATAAGTATTTAACATTGAATTAATTAACATTCAAGTATTCCAATAAGTATTTTTATGATTTTGTTGTTACCAAAAACTAATAATTATAGTTTCATACTGCTATGAACACATAATAAGTGATGGACTAAGGGCGCTCCTTAGCCTTTTTTCTTATTTATTTATTTTTTAACTTTAGGGTTAAAAGAAGTTTTAGGGGATTGAGTGGGTATTTGAAAAGTGAAAGATACCTTAGATTTGAAAATAAATATGTAGGACAATGCTTTAATAAAGCTTATTGTTTTCTTCTTAAAACTAGACTTGGTTTTATGTGAATTTATTGAAATATTAACCGTTTATGTGCAGCAAAATCATAGAACTTTGTGCCTTAATTTGTTTCTTTATTGTTTTCTTTTCCCATTTTGCCTTTTTTTTTTTTTTTGGTGGATCATCTTTTTTCCTTTCTAGCACATAAAATTAGTGGCCTCACGATCACTTTTTTGAGGTGGAGTCCAATCCTTCAAAATCCAACCCCTCCTTTCAAGTAAAGCCAAATGTTTATGCTTCCTTTTTTTTTTTTTTTTCTTTTCCTTTTGTTTTTCTTTTAGACTTGCTTGACAAAATGTCACCAAAATGAAATAAGTTGGACCAATTATTTTTAGGATAGGTTATAGGAACTGTTGTCTGCAAAAGATTTTTAATATGTTTAATTTCCATGAAATTGTGTAATATAATTAATGGGTTGATAGATTTGTCAAGTTACTCAAAAAATTCTTATTAAGCATTTTGGATTCATAAATTTACTAGACCTCTTGTATGTTTACATATGTAGGGGTGAAAATTTAGCTGGTGATGTAGGGTTTGAATATAGTTATTTCGGGGTTCAATCAGTTTTTATCATTCCTAATTTAAATTATTCAATTTTAAAATTAAATTAATTTAATTTGATTCAAATAGTTTCTAATTGTTTCAAGTTCGTATTAATTTACATTCTGATTCAAATAGATTTTTTCTGAATTTCATGTCATCTTTACATATTCTATCTTTACGTATATATCATGTATAATCTTATATAATTATCTCTTTCAGTTCTATTGAGTCTTTAATTTGACAATAAACTTATAAAAAAAATTCATATCTATTAGAATATGCAAACAAAAAGAAAGATAATAAATATCGAAACCAAATTAAAAAAAAAAAAAGACAATATTTCTCAGAGCCACCATATATAGGATATAAATCTACATATCATGAATTAGACAGTTACTTATAGTAACAGGTTTTGCGTCATCAAAAATACATACTTTTATATATATATATATATATGTGTGTGTGTGTGTGTAAGGGGTTGCTTGACCCTTGGCATTCGGTTTGGTTGATATTTGGCTTAAACTTTTCATCAATTGTGTTTTTTTTATGCTGTCATTACTCATTAACAATCGGAACTGTTATTATCGAATTTGATCACAAAAACTCAAAGCGTCCAACAATATTATATTTGTTATAAAAAAAAAATTCTGACTGCAACGAATTTGTTCTTAATCATAAAAATAAATATGAAATATATATTTGTAATGGTAATATCAAACTGGACCATAGTGTAGCAAATTACTTGAGCCAAACAAAAAACGAGTTTCAGTAGCGTCCGTTGGTAGGTTTCTAGGACAAGAAGAAATTCGAGAAAATACAATTTTGGTCCCTTAAGATTTCCCATAAGTAGTTAAATTTGATCCCAACCAAGTTTCAGTTTTCCTCCTTTTTCTTTCCGTAAAATTGTTACCTTACTTTGATGATTATATGCTACAAAATGAGACCTAAATTATTGCTATCACCTTTAATTGAGTTTGGCTGAGTGGTTCAACTTTACAACTCATAAAGTTGCTTCCCTCCGCCCTATTTTCGTCTTGCTTTTGACCTCTCTGATTTCTCCAATCATATGACCACTCAAACGTTAATCCTTGTCTCGTATGCTAGAGGTGGTGATTAAACAAGATGGGTTCAAATTGGGTTATCTGGTGTTTAGAATATTGTTTCAGATCCAAATTTTTTGGATTTGGGGTAAATTAAATTATTTTTTCTTTAATTAGTCTTAAGTTCGAATTATTATCTATTTTAATCAGGTGGAAGGTCCCAAGTTCAAATTATTTTAAATTTGAATAGCTGATTTTTTTTTTTTTCAATTCAGATATTCAAGTTTTTGGTTGGCATGTTCATTTTTCCGTCACTAATCTCAACCAAAAAACTGCTAAAATTTTAGTATATTTACATAAATTTTAGAGTGCAGATAAGCTAACGAACTTTAAGAAAAAATTAAAGCTTTCTTTGCCTCTTATTTCCACTATCTTTTTTTTTTTTTCCTTGTTTTGCGAAAGCATATAACAGAAAACTCGTTTAGATATATGCAAACAAGAAATATTATTTTTTTTCATAATTAAAAATTTAAAACTAAAGTTGTATAAAATATAAAATTAAATATGTTTACTTTTACATAGAGAATTATGTTTAAATGTATTACATTTGAATTACTTGCTTATTTTATTTACATATATATGATATTGTTTATTAATATCATTTGCTTTTGCATCTTAAGAACATTTATGGAACCAAAATACATAACAAACTAAAGGCAAATAACAAAAGTAACAATTGTTTTTGTTTTTGTTTTTGTTTTTGAAGTCATTAATCGAGCCAAATACTGAGGTGCATTTAGATTAATATTATTCATTTGTCTTTAAAAGATACGTGTTATTTACTTTACAGTGATAGGGAGCGTTGCAATGAAAGACTACACTGAAGCTGGAACTATAGTCTTCCTCTTCACCGTTGCGGAATGGCTCGAGTCAAGAGCAAGCCATAAGGTTTGCTAAAATTTGCCTCTCTCACTGCACTGAGAATGTACTAAAAATCCGATCCTATTAATTTAAACTACTTTATAATGGCTAGGAGCTAGCATATGCAAACAACTCTCATTGTTGCTTACTTTAAGCTTGAATAACTTGATATAGGCTGACAACATCTAATAAGTTTATTTATATAACATGTTCAAATTTAATTTTAAGCATGCATGATGTCTCAGGCTACTGCTGTTATGTCATCATTGATGAGTATAACTCCCCAAAAAGCAGTCATTGCTGAGACTGGAGAAGAAGTAGATGCCGATGAAGTGAAATTGAACACTGTTCTGGCAGTTAAGGCTGGTGAAGTTATACCCATTGATGGAATTGTTGTAGATGGGAAATGTGAAGTGGATGAGAAAACCCTAACTGGTGAATCACTTCCAGTTACCAAAGAAAAGGATTCAACTGTCTGGGCTGGCACCATCAATTTAAATGGTAGCAACTCAGTTTCTTCTCTCTTTTCTTAAGTCACACAATTTGGTTCTGACAGGGTTGTTCTGCTTCTATAGGTTATATTAGTGTTAAAACTACTGCTGTAGCTGAAGACTGTGTAGTGGCTAAAATGGCAAAGCTGGTGGAGGAAGCTCAAAACAGCAAATCTAGAACCCAAAGATTCATAGACAAATGTGCCCAGTTCTACACCCCAGGTTAGTTAATTTTGATCTATATTTACAAGGTTTCGGTTTACCATCTTCTATACAAGGGAGAATAAATTAGGAAACACTGTCACTAAAATGCATTGAATTCGCCTTTTTTGGATTTTCTGAAGAATTAGTAGCTCCTGTGGACATTAATGCCTCGAGAGAAAACAGAAACCGAACTACCTTTTAGTTCAGATCATTAAGATTAATAGGTTTATGCTTTATGCCAAACCCTAAATCCATGTAGAAGTAATTTTTCTAAACATCCTCATTTTACATTACTGTCTTCAATGCAGCTTTCGCTCTTCTTGGATAAGTGCAAATAGAATAGTTAATTTATCTTTGTTGGTCATTATTTGCAGCAATTATAATTGTATCAGCCGCCATTGCTGTGATTCCAGCTGCATTTAGAGTGCATAACCTTCACCACTGGTTTCACTTGGCATTGGTTGTCTTGGTGAGTGCATGTCCATGTGCGCTTATCCTTTCTACGCCTGTTGCAACTTTTTGTGCACTTACAAAAGCAGCAACATCAGGACTTGTTGTTAAGGGGGGCGACTATCTTGAAATCCTTTCCAAAATTAAGATCACAGCTTTTGATAAAACTGGTACACTTACCAGGGGTGAATTTGTTGTGACCGATTTTCGATCTCTCTGTGAAGATATAAGCTTGAACACATTGCTTAACTGGTATGGGCTTCATACTTTCCCCTTCAATTTGATAAAACTAGTGAATGAAATCAAATAGAAAATTGAAAGTATTCAGCAACTGATATGATGGGAATTCAAATCACTTTGAATATATGAAAGAGGTTCATTTATGTAGTAATATAAGATGGTAAATCACACCCAAATTATCCACTCTAACAATATTGGTGAGTTTCCCAAAAATTTGCAGTTCACTGGATGTTAATATTAGTTACAATATTTTTAAAGGGTTTCAAGTATTGAGAGTAAGTCAAGTCATCCAATAGCAGCTGCGCTTGTAGACTATGGAAGATCACGTTCAACCGAACCTAAACCTGAAACTGTGGAGGATTATCATAATTTCCCTGGAGAAGGTATTTATGGGAGAATTGATGGCAGAGATATTTACATTGGAAGCAGAAAAATTTCGGTCAGAGCCCATGGAACAGGTGAAAACTTTTGTCTTCTATGGCTTCAACTTGTTTAATAGACACTTCAGTTCAGGGTAATATTAGAAATGCCAGTAACATTTTACTCCAATTTCAATTTCTTTTCCTTAGGTCCTGACTGTTAAGCATTCGGCTTTCTTGTTCTAACACTAGTATTTTTGGATATATAGTTCCAACTCTAGAAGGCAATATGATGGAAGGAACGACAGTTGGATATGTATTTTCTGGAGCAACGCCTGCTGGAATCTTCAGTCTCTCAGATGCTTGTCGAACCGGTGTTGCAGAGGCAATCAATGAGCTAAAGTCAATGGGGATAAAAGCTGCTATGCTTACTGGAGACAATCAAGCTGCAGCAATACATGTACAACAACAGGTGCAGTTCGAGTCTAGAACTCGTGATATACCAAGACTTGAAATTTTTTGCCTTCATCTATTAGGAGAGGATAGCTTAGCACTCACAATCCAAATAGTAATGATGACACAAGGAACCAGCTTCAAATCTTGTTAGAAATTCTGTGGAGTTGTTTTTCTTTGTATTTGATATCCTATTTAGCTTAAGATGGAAACCTTAAATCTCCGAGTTGATAAGAAAATATCAATTACATTAATTGCAGCTGGGGAATCGTCTAGATGTAGTCCACGCAGAACTTCTTCCTGAAGACAAGGCAAGAATAATCAAAGAGTTTAAGAAGGAAGGGCCAACGGCAATGATTGGAGATGGCGTCAATGATGCACCTGCACTTGCTACAGCTGATATTGGTATCTCAATGGGCATTTCGGGTTCAGCACTTGCAACAGAGACAGGGCATGTGATTCTCATGTCAAATGACATTCGAAAGATACCGAAAGCTATTCAACTGGCTAGAAAGGCTCATAGGAAAGTCTTTGAGAATGTTAGTTTGTCAATCGGTACCAAGGCTGCAATTCTTGCTTTGGCCTTTGCTGGTCATCCACTTGTGTGGGCGGCGGTTCTTGCTGATGTTGGCACATGCTTGTTAGTGATCTGTAATAGCATGTTACTTTTGCAAGGAACACACAAACATGCAGGAAAATGTTGCAAATCTTCAGCTGCATCACATACAGACAGACATGGATGCAAAACCGGTCATTGCCACTCATCTCATGAACATCGACATGCTAGTATAAACGGAAAGGTCCAAAAGGCGTGTGAGCCCCCAAAATGCTCCTCCCAGAGGTGTGCCTCAAGATGTCAATCTAGCCCTTCCAATTCAGATTCATCTTCAAATTCATGTGGGAGCAATAAATGTTCGGACTCAGGAAGGACACACGATGGTTCTGAGAGTCATGAAACAAAGCACTGTGACCAGGGAAGCTGTAACAAGGTCAATCACAAGATTGAGGTCCATAATTTGTCCAGCAATTGTTGTTCAGGCCATCACAGGTTAGGCTTGTGCACAGAACGTAATGATCTCCATGGGGCAAACCACCGCCACCAGGGGCATTCGCATCATTCATCTACTCCAGAAGCAGACCAGCGAGAGACAAAAAACGATCATTGTCATTCTATTCATTGTGGTGAGAACCATATTAACCTTAAAGCTTTAGGAAACTTGGTAGAGCATAGTTGTTTGGAGAGCCTAAATCCAAAGGCTCATCCTAATGCACACAAGTGTTGTACAGACTATAGTGAGCCACCTCACACTGCCATTGACATTCCAATGAATCCAGACCGTGAGGCTACGCATGCTTGTACGAGTCTGGAGAAGAGAGAATTTGGAGGTTGTTGCAAGAGCTATATGAAAGAATGTTGTGGTAAGCATGGACATTATAGACCTGGCTTTGGAGGAGGCTTAACAGAAATTATCACTGAATAAAAATGTCTAATTTTTATAGAAACTATGATCTTCAGATGTTTGGGTTTCTAGAATTAAGAATTGAGGAAATTTTGACTCAGTGGATTGAATCAAATTAAATTAGCCATTGTTGAAAGAAATGCAAATTATCACAGGTATTTGTAAGCATCTGTTTGGGTTTGAATGTGTAAACTGTTTCATTGATCATTATGGTATAAATACAAGTTAAAGGATAAGTGAAATTGCCTTATGTCGGTTGTAAATTTAAATTCAAATATCACAACAGAAAATCATGACTTGGTCTTCTCTAGTTTACTTCATTATGGTGATTGCCTTATATCCTTTACATGCCCTGCAAGATTGGGGACCCATCAGCTGTAACATTAATTAATATCCGACCTTGAGGAGCTTTTATCTCACTGCTAATGGAAGCTCCGGGTATTTAACCACTTGAGGAACGTTCTTGCCGCTAACAATACTGTGGTCTGCCGACTGGACAAAAGCATTATGGAATTATATGGCTATAAATTGGGCCCTCTTTGGACAAATCGATCCATCAGGAAGCTACGCACCTTTACTTTGTTTCAGAAGCATTCAAAGCTTAGTATTACTCATCCAAAATCATTTTATAAATTAGGGCTATTACCCATTTCCCAAACCTCTTCATAAATAAACTCCCAACATTCCCATGTCTTTTATTTAGTATATCAGCAACAAAAACTTAAAGTACCCTTTGTTCTTTTCGTTGAATGCTCTTGTTTTAGCCACCCAGAAACAGAAGATTATTGAGGTTTGATCACTTCTTTATTGTTAATTATTATTCCTCCTGCCAACCTTTTATCGCTAGCTTTAACCCGACCTCGAATCAAGCCATTACCAGGAAAACCTAAAATTTCTTGTTGAAAGCACCTATTTGAAGATAATCCAAACGTCCATTTCACATGCATGTGGAATAATGCTTGAATCATAAGAAAGTCTGAACATTCGAAATCATCAGTCCTATTGATGCATGGGACAAAGAATATGAATGGATTCTATTGAGAAGCATTAAGCTGTAGACAAATTACAGAAACAACTACAACTCATCAAACAAAATGCCTCAAGTTGAGTCAAAGCCTTATCCTATCTTTGCGCATCAAAAGTATGAAGATATTCTCATTGATTTATGATTAAACAAATTGGACATGATCTGAAGATTATTCTTTAATTGTGATTGACATTTGATCAGTATACGACTGGATGATAAGCGGATATATATTCAAAGAATTGAATTGGAATCTCTTCTTTTCTTATCTTATTCTGATCAAAGAATTGAAAAGTATTTAAAGCAGCTCAGGATTCACCTTTTCAATTTGTTTTTTGGGTGAGATTCGAAGAGATGTATTATAGTTTTTGGCTTTTTTTTTTTCAAAATTTTCATGCCTAGTTGCGTAGTAGGTGGTATTATAAACACATACACTAGATGTATTTAGAATGTATTCTTTTAAGTTACATTCATAATAAAATATTATACCATTATTAAAAAAAAGGTAAAATGATAAAATTTTAACCTAATTTAATGAAGTGGTTTTCATAAAAAAAAAAACAAAAAACAAAAGTGATAATTTGAGCATCTTAACAGGTCTGAAAATTGTAACATATGCTCATAAAATTTTGAAAAAGAAAGGAAGAAATTCCCATTAAACATATTTTAAAGTCTAAATTAAGCACCCCTATCCCTGAAAAGGTTCTATTCCCTCCCCAGTGGATGGCAGGTGGGTCCAAAATTGCTTTAGAGTGGGGTAAGTTGCCCTAAACAGATAAAATTGATGCTTTAAAAGGATCTAGAAAAAAGTGGTGAGTTCCTTCAAGTGCCATAAAAGTCAACCATGTTTTCCTATAAATGTGCGATATATTAACAATGCTTGAAGCCATAGAGAGAGCTAGCAGTGATTTATAAGAATTAATATTTATGGTCCTGGTCGATGATTGGCGTTCTTGCATGAAAGGAGAGAGAGTGGGGGATTGAGTCAAGAATGACTTGCCGGTATTTGCTTCTTGTAAAGCCCGGTGGCCGGTCTTGACCACGTCTTCCGGCAGGTCATTTTTGACTCACCTTCGCTCCCTTTTTCTTTCATGTTAGACGCATCATCATATTCATTCCTCCTGTTGTATTTGTAGCCAGGCCAAGAATTATAATTTGTGAAGTGTTAAACCTCAAACTTTTTTTTTCTTCTATTTTTTTTTTGCTCGTCTTGTTATATATCTTAATTTTTCCACTGACTTCAAATTGCAATTCTTAAATTAAAATGAAAAAGAAAAAAATAAAAACTATTCTAATTGCAACTCAGTTTATGCTTAGTTTTTGCTGCCTAACCTCTTGGCAACCTCTTGCCACCATAAGTTGATATTGCTATCTTACCCTTTGTCTCTTTTATTCTTTTTGGGACATTGGAAATTTAAAAAAAAAAAAAAAAACCTATAGCTTTTTCCTTTTTTTTTTTTTTTTTACATTTCAAATTTACTTTTTATGATTTTAATTTTTTTTTTTTACTTTTTGTTATTAAAAATCATGAAAAGTTACAAATATGATAAAATCAAAATTTTAATTATATAAAATATACCAAAACCAAAGGTTTGTTGTTAAACTTTTCTGAAAATAAAATAGAAACAGCAAAATAAGGTGGAGAGAGTACAAAATAGTCAACTAATCAACAATTTTTGTGAAAATTAATCAGTCAATGGTCAACCCATTTTTCATTGCATGTCTTACGGGCATTTTCATTATGCCTCATGACAAATCCCATAAGACATGCAATAAAGGTTAAACTATAAAGAACAAATAGGCACAGAGTCATGTCTTCTATCTTATCAACCCCTTGAGATGAACCTAACGTAGGACAAATCCTACTATATATTCCTCAACTCGGGCTGCTGAGCAGTATATATCTGTTTCTTTAAGACTTTTATGTTGATCGCTAATTATCATTGGTAGGTTTTCGTGAAATGCTTTGAGGGCAGTTGGAATTTCTTCAGTCACTCTTTTTGGGAGCACAGGCTATTATTTGAAGGTTAAATGAGCAAATATACTGACTGAAGCAATGGATTTAGCAGTTCTTGGAAAGCTTCGGAAGGTTTCAAAACAAACATGATAAAGAGATTTTACGTGGTAATTACATGGAGGTTGTTCTTGGTGGGACTTTCATTGCTTGGCAATTTCTGTATTGCCTTTCATAATTCACATGTGCATGATCACGCAAATTTTCAGTTATAAAGTGCTTGTATTTTCTAAGATAAGTATTCCTGGTTGTAATATTTTTATCTTTTAAGGCTTTTTTTTTTTTTTAATTTTATCCATTGATGTTCCTTTTGTAGCTTTGATCATGCAGCAGAATTTAATTTGTGATTCTGATGCTATAAATACTAATCTATACTTGTTAGCCTTTATCTTTTATACCCTTTTAGAAGATTAATAAAATCTATATTTTGACTAAGCAATAAAAAAAAAAAATCTAAACAACAAAATTGATATGATGGTACCGTAATTCATCCACATAAAAGAACTTTTATACAAACAATCTCTTAATTTTTCTCTTTTTTCCGTTTTAATCAGGAGAAAATTAATGTAAGATCCTTGGATGTGTGATTTTTAGTCATTTACAATGTCCTAGGTACATTTATGTCGTTCTTTCTTTTGACCTCAGTTTCACAGATTAATTTACCCTTTTTTTCCTCTTTTTTCCACGACTTTTTCTTCGATCCAAAAAGCTGCAAAGCAAAAACAATGATACCTCAAGGCTCACTTCAGCGAAGTCAATATCTCACAAATGGATAGAGAGACAAAACAATAAGAAAGTAAGAGTGAAGAGAGGATGAATGTCTTTGCAGATATACCTTACCTTTATATATACTAGTGTTGTAACTCCGCATCGCTTGGTTGAGATCAATAATGTTTTTAAATTGTATTATAAAAATAGAATTAAAGATATTTAAATGCATTATATTTGTATTTATATATTAAATAAAAAATTAAAAATTACACATATAAAAGAAATATTACAAATTAGTGAAAGATTAAAAGTTAATATTATAATTTTGTTTTACGTACCAAATACAACAAAAGTATGAAACAAATCCATATACAAAAATAGGCTCCCTCAAATAAAATCCGACTAAAAAAGCAAGTCTCATTTTCTCACACCCAAAAATCAATTAAATCTAAAAAAATATGCATATTTATTATATGTAAAAAACTTATACAATAACAAACTCTTTAAAAATTCAACCTATAAAATAACTCATATTCCCTCACACCTCACACCTCAAAGCTCACAAAACCCAAAAAAAATAATAATTGTCATGTGTAAAAGGCTTATCCATATTCTCTCAAATCCCAAAGCCCACTAAATCCCAAAAATATATATATATATAATGTATAAAAAGCTTATGAAACTCTTTTTATATATAATAATATAGATATTTATGTATAGATTCCAAACCAATACAAAGCAATGCAAGCTTCTAAAAGTAGATTCCCCTACAACGAAAGGTGTTGTTAGAATGAGTGTGACAGAATGTCACAGTCGACAAATTGATCCAAGCTCAGGGATTCTTTTTGAGACGAGTAGCTATTCAAGTTCTAATGGGACAGAGTCTGACAACCAAAGGGGCAAAGCCTTAAGGCTCACTGAAAGTCTAGGTCATACGAAACTAGACCAAAATAATGGTACGGGTAATGATCAAGACTTCAGAAGCTCAAGAAAGGTGTTCAGGTTCGACAAGATTAAGTCAGCCCTAGGGGTGGACACTGGCGAGCGATGTGCAGAGACACCTAATCAAGTATAGACGGGAGCACTGATTATCGAGATGCAGGCATATAGTCAAGCCCAAGTATGGATACACATGAACATAGTCCTGGAAGAATCAAATTTGGAGGCTTCTAGAAGGCTTGGTGTTCAGCATGATTTCAACAAGTCAATGATTGTGCAGTAGTACTTAATCTCCTAGAATCAAGGATTGTAAGTTAGATCATAAAATCAAGGGATTGTAATTTCTAGAGTTTAGAAACATATCTCAGGTGCTAAATGTAAGGGGCTTAGCTATTTAGAGTTCTCCACCTTCATGCACACACAGACTAGAGCCATTAAGTAATAACATCCTTATTATTGCCTTAAACTTTTTGTTATTTTTTTGTTAGCCTTTATTCAAGCACTTGCTTTGCCCTTTCATTTTGCAGTGTACTGGGCGATTAAGCCCCGCAGTCTAAAGTGTTCGTGTATCA